GCTTAGAGGGTTGAGGCCTATGCAGAACAGTAGTGGGGACAAAGCATCTCCTTGGTAGATACCACATTTGATGGTCACTTTTTGTGGATGTTGGAGCATTGAGCTACTAGTTGTTTCGGGGTCAACTGTGACTGTGGGTTTCGAAGTAACCATTCAGCCCACATTCTCTGCATGTAACTTCTTTGGCCAGGGTTACTCGAGTAGTAGCATTCCAGTTGCCCACTTTTCATCAAGGTGCTCTGGTTCCCCAGCACCTGACGCAGACCTTGTTTGGCCAGGCAACGTCTGAGCCGGCATCTCATTGCTTATTTGTGCGTCACGGTTATGAGTTAGGCAGTAGCATTAAGGGTCTGGCCCAAGGACCCACACTAGATGTTGGTGTTAATGTGCTCCCGGTCGGATTTGAACCCTGGCCTCCCAGGTCCCAGCCCTGCGCCCTACTAACATAGCAGCTAACAGAAACTGAGAAGGGATCAGGAGCCAAAGGGCTGCAGCTGGCTCACGGACCAGGGTTTGCCCACCACTGGTTAAAGGTGCCATATTTTACTTGTCTTCATTTTTCACAGTCACATTTGTTATAATAATTTGGGTGGTGCACCATACAACACTCAAAACTTGTCAAATTATAGCCATTTCGTGCATAATGGTGATGTCACCTCATGTGAAACGCTTGGATGTCTGCTCCGCTGCCTGTGAGCCCGCCTCCCCCCGTGAACGCGGTGAAGTAGCATTATGCTAAGTTCCGAGGTAAACAAGAGCTAACTTTACTCGCTTTAGCTTAAGCGCAGATGCTTATTTACTGTCTATGGACCACACGCAGGATTCGGAGAGAGGCTGCAGCTGACCTTAGACGGTGCTGATTTACTGGTTCAGTTTCTCCCTGCTGTGCCTTTGATTTGATTCGATTTGAAACAGCTTGTTTCTGTGCCTCTGGAGATTGAAAGAGAAAGATTGCTCTCTAACTAAAGCTTGACGGAATCAATTAAAAAACTACTCTGGGCATGTGTATGAAGGCCAAATAGCTCTGTGATCATGTTTAAACCAGAGAAAAGTCAAAAAGCATTATATGGGACCTTTAAAGGACAGTAAAATTCCGTCATCCTGCTCCCTTTGGACTAATGGCTCCTGTGGATTTTTTTTTTCTTGCATTTCCTGTGTTTGTTGGTTAATCCACAACTTTGTAAAGTCCTCAGAGTTAACTGCTGTTTTGATTAATGGCAATAAAAATATAAAATGGATTGAAATGAATCAATAGGTTGATAGGTTAAGTGTTCCTAGACAAAGCTCTGTCCCTAAATTTGGCTTTAGCTCGCATGAAACCTGAGCGGGAACAGCGCGGTGGTTTCCTGTAGCTACCCACAAATCAGAATCCGAATTATTTTTATTGCCATGTAAGTAACAAAAAGTCACAGACTAAGAAATGTATTTGACTATCAGTGCAAACGAGTCAAAAGTAGAGAAAGAATAAGTAAGAAAGTACTTTATTTATATAGCACATTTTTACAGACCAAGGTCACCCAAACACTGGCGCATCAAAGCCCCCAATCAACATCCTCCATTCACTCACTCTTTACCTTCATACCTATTGTGCATGGCTTTAGAATTTTTTTTATTATTAATAAGGCATAATAAAACATTTGTAAAGTATAACATTTTCTAAAATATTAAAAAGTAAAATTGTTACAATTATTAGGTTTCCTCCGCGTACTCCGCTATGTGCAATAGTTCAGGGTGAATGAGTGTGTGTTTGTGAGAGCGAATGTGGGACGGAACGGATGCAAATTAGCTCATGGCTACAATCTGGAGTGATGTGTTCAATGAAATGTACTGTCCCAACCAAATAAACAATAGATAAATAAATAAATAGCCTTTAATGCAACACTGAAAGTTCTACACTGTGGAACAAATACAGGCTCTCTTTGGATCTCTGCACACTGTTGCAGCCCAGGTGAAGTAGATTGTAGATTAGCAGAGGCTCAGGGGTGTAGGACTGGAGATATGTGTTCCGGTGGCCATGTGGCAGATGTGACTTGTAGCATATTGTAGAGGGCACGTTGCTGCTTATCTCCTTTTGCCACGGAACATTCCACACAACATAAAAGGGATATTAGTTGTTATGCAGCTGACGCTAGTATCACAGAGCTACTTTGTTTAATAATTGCATCAGTCTTTGTAAAAATTATGAATAAAATTCATAAGTCTGAAATCAAGGAAATGGATTTTTACGTTGAGTTTAGTTCAATACGTCTTTATGAAGTAAATGTTACTGTGTATGTGTAAAGTAAATTAAGTTCTAATTCTCAATAAAATTAGAACTCAACTCTTGGCAACAGCAGGACTGGCCTCCTGCTGGAACTCTGAGGAGCACAGGGACTGGCCTCCTGCTGGAACTCTGAGGAGCACAGGGACTGGCCTCCTGCTGGAACTCTGAGGAGCACAGGGACTGGCCTCCTGCTGGTACCTGAAGTCAGGACTAAACATGGGAAGGCAGCGTTTCAGATTTATCCAGCAAAAATCTGGAACAGGCTATCTTCTTCTCTGCCAGTGTTCAAATCCAGGTTGTTTCTTTACTCTTTTTAATGTACTGTGATGTATTTTTGCCTTGTGTGATAGTTTCTATAAACGGTTGTTTACATTCTTTTCACATGGGCATTTACGCAGTTTGTCATTAAACATTCCTTTTGCATTAGGGACAAGCGTCTCTTGGGTCACTCGACAAAGTTACAAGTAGCATCTGAGGAGAGGCGAGTCATCTGACTGTGGAAAATATCCATAATTGAGGAATGTATATTCAACTGAGCAGCGATCTATCACAAGAATTACATGACTCTGTTTAATCGGCGATATCCTGATTGAGGTCACAAGTCTGCGCCACTGCATTTAATTCTGTTAAATCTGAGCGCACAGACAACCTAACAGAATTAACTTTGTCTGCTCGTGTTTTTCTGTGTAATGTTTCTGTTTCAAATACATCACTTTAGTCCCATGTTTTAGACCAGGGGTGTCCAAACTTTTCAGCAAGAGGGCCACTTAAAGTTTAAGTTATAAAGAAAAAGTAAACGGGCCACTTTAGTTCACCAAGGGGCCGACAGCATTGACTGGATTTGAGCTGCTCCACAGAGATATACTGTTGTGATTTTGGGCTATACAAGAATAAATTGAATTGAATTGCATTGAATCACCAATTATACTTTACAGTTTTCAAATGTGTGATGTTAACCTTTTAGGCGCCAAAGAAGCAAAAGGTAGTGTACAGATTGATCCTCTTGAACACAGGACACTTTCTATTCAGATTCAGATTCAGACTACTTTGCTAAATCATTTGAGTTGAAAAGAGTATAAAAAATCAATAACATAAACAATATTCTATATATATACAGTAGCATGGCTTACCACAAACGTGTCCCTACATTTTCTTACATTGTTTTCTCTTATTGATAATACTTGTCCTCTATCTCCTATACAATCTTCAGGTCTCCATCTCTGTTTTAGAAATGTCTTTTAAAAAAAACTCCAGCATCTAATGGGTTAATGAATGGGTTAGAGATAGAGTGTTGTTCCTCAGTCACGGAAACTGACTTCAATAATAATGGCATAACTCTCGCTGAACCGAATGAATGTTTCTCGCATCAGAAAAGCTGTTTTTGTGTGATATTTCTTAAACAGTAAGTTATTGACTTGTCCACGGTTTTATGGTGCGCTCTTGTGTTTTGGTTAAGATTGAGACTAAAAGACCCTTTTTTCGTCCCACAGTGGATAAATCTAATTGTTGCCTCACCGGTTAGTAATGAATGACTTACTCCGAGGTAGAGGAGGATGCCGAAGAAGGCGAAAGGCAATGAGGAGCACACAATGCAAGATAAATGTTAAAGTTATAACTCTACACTAAAATATTTGATTTTATACTAGAATAAAATACAATCTATGACTATTTACATTATTAAAGTTATTATTGCACAGATGAGCATAGTGACATCTGACATAGTTCAAGTTCTTGCACAAATGTTCGTACAGTACATTTCACCTCTCAAATGTGAAATATTGAAAAGACAGCCTTATTCCGAGACACTTATACTTAGCAAATAGGATCGTATATAGTACCTGTAGCTGCTTTTAAGACTTTGCTCTAGAGTATATAAGTTTATACATTGAGGTTTATTAAGTTTTTCTTTTCTTTGTTGTTGTGCTAGACTTAATGTTAACTTCTTGTTTTGTGTTGTGTGCTCCTCATTACTGCTCTGTAACCAGTGATGAAACACTGACATTTCTTCAATGTGGGACAAATAAAGTATATTTTCAACTTAATAATGCCAAAGCTATTTGACTGGTTTGTGAAACCTCTGTTCACTGACACTCACACGCAATAAAAAAAAATCGGATTCTAAAAAACACTCAGACAATTGGAAAATGTGGTTTTAGGACAAATACCAAGATAAATATTTGATTCAAGCATTTTATTACCAAATTTTCAAACCACAAACAGTCCAACGGGTGAGTCCCTCTGTCTCAAAACAGTTTGGATCTATCACTAGTTTTCACATGCATGTATTTTAAAAAGAGAGGACCAGAGAGACAGAGACCAGAGAAAGAAGAAAGAGACTAGAGAGACCAGAGAGAGACCAGAGAGACACCAGAGAGCGACTAGAGAGCGACTAGAGAGAGACCAGAGAGAGACCAGAGAGAGACCGGAGAGAGACCAGAGAGAGACCAGAGAGGTTCTATCACTAGTTTTCACATGCATTTTTTCACATGGATTTTTTTACCTCTGTCACATCTTTAGCATTTTGGGACAGAAAAGTTTAAAAAGAGCATGGAGTGGTCTGATTTCTGTGTAGGTACTATAGTTACAAATGTATCCTATTTTACTAAATACAGAGTTCAGATGTTGACATATGTACATTTGGACCCAAAATGATGTCAAACCCACACATTTTCTGCTGTGTATTTTCTGCAGAGATTTGCCTTTGTGACTGTGTGCCTGTTGTGTTTGTGTGGTGCAGGTGGATGTCACCGCTGCTGAGGAAAGGCTTCCGGAAGAAACTTGAGCTCACAGACGTGTACAAGGCCCCGTCATTCGACCATGCAGACAACCTGTCGGAGAGATTGGAGAGGTACGGACACAGCAGGGGGCCGAGGCATGGACTCCGGTTCCGTGCATTAACTGACAACAATTTTTCAGACAAGCAGCAACAAACTGTAGCATACTGTAGGAACACTGGAGTGAAGGTCGTGTTGTGTGTTTCCAAGTCTGTGTAAAAAGAGTGGACTGACTGAGTGTGACATCACCATAGTGTTTTAGCCTCAACGCGGAACATAAGCTAGCTGGAGCTAATTTTCTTGTGCAACTTTAGCTTCACATTGTAATATGGGAAACCGTGTTGCCAAAACGGTTGCTAAGGCAAGCTGAAGTTTCCCCCACAAAAGAAGGCATCTGATTGGTCAATCCTTATATGGCTCATATCTGGATTAATAAAGACAACATTCAAATATAAACACCAGGATCACAGAGAGCAATGATCCCTCTCATGCTGAAGTGTGCTTCATATTTGTACTTCATACGTGGCCTTTTGTACTGTTTACCGTCCATGCGCTCAAATACGGGCCGCCATTTTTTCTGTGTCCAAACAAACTGAGGACAGTGAAACCACAACAGCCCCAAGGAACACAGCAGCATTCAACACACGAGGAATTTGTTTTTGAAATACTGTAATTTGCCCATGTACAAACCAAGACAAACTTGTATATGAAACTTTATTTGCAGATAGCTTGATATAGAAGCACGGTTTTGCACAAATGTAATTGACTGATACTTTCTGAGATCTGAAGCAACCAGGCTTTGAATATGTTTGGCCAATATTGGTATAGGAAGAATAATTAAAAATGCACCTTGATGAGAATGACTGCTGTAAAGGCTGCAGAGGTTTGTCTTTATATCAGTTTCAGCTGGTGTTGTGCCGTGTGATTTAGATGAAAATGGTTGGGGAACACTGTTCTAAGGTACAGTGCTTCTAACACCCTGATTCTAATCACCAACCTTTTTGAAACCAAGAGCTATTGGGCACTGATTAATGCAAAGGGCTACCAGTTTGTTACACACTTACATAAATTGCCAGAAATAGCCAATATGCTCACTTTACCTTTAACTCTATGTTATTATTAATAATTAATGATATTTATCTTTGTGGGAACACTGATCATCTTAATGATTTCTCACAATAAATATAGAAACAGATAAATATCAATATGCAATATCTTTCAAATTGAACATTTTCAAATGATCACTTCTAAGACAGTTGTGAAATCACAATATCCCATTTTAACTAGGTAGCCACTAACATTTCAAATCATGAATTACTTGCACCATGTTTGTACAAATAATAACTCATGTAAAATACAAAAGTCAACTCTCAAATTTTTAAATAAATCACGTCACACGTGATGGCAATCTCACAGGAGTTTAGAAACCAAAGCGGTCCCATTTACACTGCTACTTTCTCCTCTTCAGAACAAAAACAATAGCGAAGCAAGCTGTTTGAGATCATTACATGTGTTTCTACTGTAGGTTTATGTGACAGTTCTATGGACTCATTGTTTCAACTCAACACTGTGATGTTGTGAATAAAGACACAGTTCTTGTTGGAAACATAGTTATTATTCAAGTGTATTCGGCACAAACAGCAAAACAATAAGTGGTAAATATCTGAGACAAACATGAACTATTTACAAGTGCAGGAGGAATGCAACAGATGCGATAAGCTACGCTTCATGCAAAAACAGGAACAGTGCAAAAGAAACGACTGCACAGTTTATAAGTTATATACAGTATATGTTAGATATGCAACAGAACTCTCGTCCACAGTCTCCTGTATATCAGGCTTTGAGCCACCAGCCCAAACTGATTTTCCTTCGGTTCTTTCGAAGCGCGAAGCAGTCTGCTCCGAAGTGCCTCATCCATGCTCCTGCAACCGCTTCATGCTTCCCAGAAAGTAGTCACACGCGGACCAATCACAACAGAGCTTCTCTCACACACGGACCAATCACAGCTGACCTTGTCTTCTGCGGCGGCGGCCGCGTAGTAAATGTTTGAGGATGCGTGGCAGGCTACGTAAGGGTCTTGCGGTGATCCACGCATTGCGCAAGTGACGTCACGTCACCACCGTAAGCTCCGCGCTGCGGGGGCACCGCGTTGGTGACCCCTGTTCTAATCTAATCTAATTTACTCTGATCAAATCAATTCTACTCTTCTCTACTCTAACCCTCTCTACCCTGACTTGGCACGGCAGCTCTTTAACCGGTACCAGGTCTCCCTTGGCGGTGGTTCTATTCAGCCCGAGCTGGTACTAAAGTGCTGCTGGACGCCATGGTTACCAAGGAATATCCACGGAGACTGGTTTCTTATCGATAAGTTGCTTGGATAGCGGTACCAGATACGAAAACGTGATGGAAATGAGTAGAGTAGAGTAGAGTAGGGCCAAGTAGGGCTGGTGGAAACAGGGCTTTAGATCGCCTGCTTTAGGGTTTCAACTCAGAGTCAATACTTGAACTAGTGAATTCTTAAAGTATTATAGTTATAGCAATAGTTATTATAGTAAATGGTTCTGACTCAGTTCACTGGTTTGTGTCCTGGTTTGGCCCCTGTATTTCTCGCTACCTCCCAGTGCTTTACTGTAGAAACCAGTTACATTCTGACCTTTACACCGGGACCACCGCGTTGAATGGAGCACCAGTCGTTTGTCTCACACTCACGCGCAAGGCATTCTGGGAAACTGAACTTTAAATTCTTTTTCTCTGCGGCTCAAAAACAGAGAGATCCGTCTTGAGGACAATGGAGGCGGTCTCATTCAATGGCCAACGCTTTCATCAAGAACGCAATTAGAATTGTAAAAAAAAGTTTCACCCCTCACTCTCAAAACTTCTATCACTAGGGTTCACATATATGTGTTTGTGGCTTCTATCGCATAGTTAATGCGTTTCCAGACAGAAAAGTGAAAAAACGAGGACCATCCTCACTCAGCTCTCAAAAGTGACGCTTTGGCCCACACAAACGTTTTCTAATAAGATGAAGACAGTATGATGTGGTCACAACATTTTACTTTTACACTGTCACTAACTAGTCCCTTCCTCTCAAAACATATTTTTTCCATCAATAGTTTTTCTATTGTGTATTTTTGGCCTCTGTCACACAATCAGCTTTTTCAGACAAAAAAGTGACAAAGAGTGGACCACCCTCACTCAGCCAATCATCTCTCAATCCAAAGTGTCAAGTAGTACTTTTCCAGTTGGAACAAAATACATCTGTTATGTATAAAGCAATAAAGTTAAGTACCCCAGATTACACCAAGATGAATGCTTTTTTCATTTATTAAAAAAAACGGTGTCTGAATGCTGTCAAAAGTATATATTTTTTATAATGGATTGTTTCTTGGTACAGAGGTCCCTCACTATATCGCAGTTCACTTTTGTGGCCTTTCTGTTTTGTTGATGGTTTCTTTTATTAAAGTCATGAGCAAACATTTGTGGCTTGTGTGCTTTGCTGTCTCTCTGGTCTCTCTCAGGTCTCTCTCTCCGGTCTCTCTCTGGTCCCTCTCTGGTCCCTCTCAGGTCTTGGCGTAGCCCTCAATCCTGCTCCTGCCCCTCAGCATGGCTTTTACTTGCTTTAGACAGCTGCAGCAGTGCTCAAACCTAATCAACAGGTTTGATAATTCCGCAATTGCACTTCAGCAGTTTTGAGTTCAGGTGGTTAGAAAAGTGTATAAAGTGTGTGATGAGAGGTTGCCAATAAAACATACAGCTGCTCTTTCAAGGATTTCTTTCATTGTGGGGTTTTTGTTGTTGTTGAAAAAAACCAGGGACCATAGTATCACACTAAACGTTGCCTCTTTTCAGGGAGTGGGACCGGGAGGTGGTCTCAGCCAAAAAGCCCCGTCTGCTCCGCGCTCTGGCCCGATGCTTCATTGGGCCGTTCACCTTCTTCGGCATCCTCCTCTACCTCGGAGTAAGTCTTTTTAATTACTAACACATACAGAACACCAACCACGACACAAAAGTGGAACCATTTATATACAACATACACTACCGTTCAAAAGTTTGGGGTCACTGTATTTAAATAGAAAACACGTGGAAGAGTTTAGTAGCTTCTAAAGGGGGGCTGATTTGGTACTATACAGTCTGTGGAAGAGGCTGCGTTTGTGCTCCGTTTGCATGACAGAGCGCACGGACAAAGATCACACAGGTGCATATCAACTAGTCTAAGGTAAGGTAAGAACATATGTCAGTATGGAAAAACGGTGGCCTATTCCTTTAAGACTAGTTTAAAGTTATTTACAGTGCTTTTCCTTCAAAAATAAGGACATTTCAATGTGACCCCAAACTTTTGAACTGTAGTGTAAGCAGTGCCATTAGTAGTTTTTTGTCAATGTCAACATAAAATTAGTAATCAATGTCAACTTGTGATTATTCTTAATTCATTGATCTTTTGTTCCTTTTCTATCTGTCCCTTGATTTGGTTTGAAAAGGGATTGGATGAAGCAAAAAGCTTTTACTTATCCAATCTTCTCCAAAAATAAAGTATTTGGATTCTCTTATTCTTGTATAGTACAAGGATCCCACACTTTATCAAACCAAGATGTACTTTTACAGCAACTATTGTTATAGCTGTGATCTACCTTGGATTTATGTGGGAGTATTAGTATTCCGAATATCACATTTGGTTCATGATGCAGATGTAATCCATCCATCCATCCATTTTCTTCCGCTTCATCCGTTGCCGGGTCGCGGGGGCAGCAGTCTAAGCAGAGACGCCCAGACTTCCCTATCCACACACACCTCCTCCAGCTCGTCCGGGGGGACTCCAAGGCGTTCCCAGGCCAGCTAAAAGACATAGTCCCTCCAGCGTGTCCTGGGTCTTCCCCGGGGCCTCCTCCCGGTGGGACGTGCCCGGAACACCTCCCCAGGGAGGCATCCAGGAGGCATCCGGAACAGATGCCCGAGCCACCTCAACTGGTTCCTCTCGACGTGGAGTAGCAGCGGCTCTACTCCGAGCTCCTCCCGTGTGACTGAGCTCCTCACCCTATCTCTAAGGGAGCGCCCAGCCACTCTGCGGAGGAAGCTCATTTCGACCGCTTGTATCCGCGATCTTGTTCTTTCGGTCATTACCCAAAGCTCATGACCATAGGTGAGGGAGGGAACGAAGATTGACCGGTAAATTGAGAGCTTTGCCTTTCGGCTCAGCTCCCTCTTTACCACAACGGTCCGATACAGCGACCGCATCACTGCGCACGCTGCACCGATCCGCCTGTCAATCTCACGCTCCATCCTTCCCTCACTCGTGAACAAGACCCCGAGATACTTGAACTCCTCCACTTGAGGAAGGGCCTCTCCACCCACCCGGAGAGGGCAAGGCACCTTTTTCCGGTCGAGCACCATGGCCTCAGATTTGGAGGTGCTGATTCTCATCCCAGCCGCTTCACACTCGGCTGCAAACCGTCCCAGTGCATGTTGTAGGTCCTGGTTCGTTGGAGCCAACAGGACAACATCGCAAACAGCAGAGATGAAATCCTGTGGTCCCCGAACCGGACCCCCTCCGACCCCTGGCTGCGCCTAGAAATTCTGTCCATGAATACAGTGAACAGAACCGGTGACAAAGGGCAGCCCTGGCGGAGGCCAACATGCACCGGGAACAGGTCTGACTTACTGCCGGCAATGCGCACGCAGCTCTGGCTCCGGTCATACAGGGACCGGACAGCCCTCAGCAGAGGACCCCGGACCCCGTACTCATGGAGGACCCCCCAAAGGACACTCCGGGGAACACGGTTGAACGCCTTCTCCAAATCCACAAAGCACATGTGGACAGGTTGGGCGAACTCCCATGAACCCTCGAGTATCCGATGGAGAGTGTAGAGCTGGTCCAGTGTTCCACGGCCGGGACGAAAACCACACTGCTCCTCCTGAATCCGAGATTCGACCATCGGCCGTAACCTCCTCTCCAGTACCTTGGAGTAAACCTTACCGGAGAGGCTGAGGAGTGTGATCCCACAATAATTGGAACACACCCTCCGGTCCCCCTTCTTGTAGAGAGGGACCACCACCCCGGTCTGCCACTCCATTGGCACCGCCCCCGATCGCCACGCGATGTTGCAGAGACGTGTCAGCCAAGACAGTCCTACAACATCCAGAGACTTTAGATAATCAGGACGGATCTCATTCACTCCCGGCGCCTTGCCACCAAGGAGGCTGCTAACCACCTTGGTGACCTCTGCCAGGGTGACAGAAGTATCCGCCCCAACATCCTCAGCCTCTGCCTCCGGAGCGGAGGACGTGATGGGGGGATGTAATTCATGATACAGTAATTACCATGTTGTCATTAATCACATTTCAATGGAAGAGGTTTAAATAATCAGTTTATAAGTATTGTAGAAAGTTCACATACAGTATATCTGCTACACAGTATGTTCTTCTGAAGTGTAGCTTGTATTGTTAATGTCACATATAACTGCTTACTGTCATCTTATTTATCAGAAACGCTGTCTACTCTTTCTGTTCTTTCATCTGAGGATGCTCTGTCAGAACGCACAGAGCAGCAGTTAAATTGTGTAAATGGCGCGGAGGATGAGACCGGCTCGAACCAGACGCTCGTCAGTCAAATGACCCATGCATATTCTGACACAAGGGACCATGGAGACAAACACATATGTTTGACTGTTGCTGCTGTATATCAATTATTTTGCCTTCACTGTCTTCTACACATCTCCATAGACTTTACAGGGCAGCAACATCTGTGGCACTTCTGTGCTCGCGTTAATAACACAAAAAAATAATTGACGTTAAAATAAATCTGCATTAAGTGCGTTATTAACGCATTAAACTAACAGCACTAATAAAGAAACATCACATTGTCACCAGGCATTCATGCCAAAATGGTAGATGCTCACATATAGCACTTTTCTACCGGTGCGTTGCTGTGATGAATAGGATGTGAAAACATGTATGTCTCATATAATGTGGATAGGGTGTTGACAGGGGCTGGCAAATTAGCTTGAACTACTGCAAATTCTATTAATGATCTAACTATAATTTGGCCATCTTAGGACTGTAAAACCTAGGTTTTTTTTTAAGTGTTCATACTCTCATCGTTATTGTTGTTTTTCCAGGAGGCTTCAAAGACCGTGCAGCCTCAGCTCTTGGGTCGCATTATTGCGTCCTTCGACCCGTTCCATGCCCCGGAGCGCTCGCAGGGGTTTTACTTGGCTCTGGGGCTCTGTCTGCTGTTTGTGGCCCGCTTCATGCTGCTGCAACCAGCCATCTTCGGACTGCACCACCTGGGCATGCAGATCCGGATTGCCCTGTTCAGCCTCATCTACAAGAAGGTACAGGAACGGGTCCCTCTGGTCACAGTGAGTGCGATTCCAAAGCATGATAAAATATCATATATTAAAAAACGCTCTCTGTTCGCTCGATTACCAAGCTGCTCTGACGAGTTTTGGTCTCGTCCTGTGTGCATCACTTACCAATGTCCCATAAGGATCTGATTTAGATATTAAGAGTGGACTGGCCACGGTGACGCACTGTAACAGCGGCAGATGTGTTGGCTCATATTAGGATTTGGACCATATAAAAATATAAACACCAAGATCTTAGAGAGCACTAAACTAGGATTGTTTTAAGCCTAATGGAGAGTGCGACACAAACGGTTACTGAGCTGGAGGTGTTTTCTTTTCAATGTATGTCAAAAGATGCCAGAGAGAGTTGGAGCAAAACTTTGTTCATGGGCACTTCCCTGTCACTGAGCCCAAAAGACTGTGCGAGACTCTGTGTGGTTCAGGCCTAATGAAACAACATTCATACACTTTAATGACAATAATCTACTTTTGATATTACTGATAATTACAAAATTAACATGTTTGCTTATTTTTCTTGAAGATTACAGGGAGGACTTATCCCACATAGCCCAATAATATAGGCCTTATCTGGAAATTTAATTTCCGTTCACTGCTGTGGGCCTGGGGTCTTGCTGGAGAGAGCAGCGCGGACCGTTCTTACAGCGGCTGATCTTTCTCTGTGTAACTTTGTGTGGAACAAAACAAAACATCCCACAACCGACTGATAAGATACAGAGTGAGCTCAGCGCAGCGTCAGCAGCCGGCTGCATGCTGTGGTCTTTTTAAACATGAAAACCTACAGCTTCAGTTACACACACACACACACACACACACACACACACACACACACACACACACACACACGGCAAGTTTATTTGTATAGCACAATTCTTACACAAGGCAACTCAAAGTGCTGAACAAAATAAGATAGAATCAAAATCATAAATAATCACAGTACATTAAAAAATAAGATAAAAATATAAAATCCCTCAGTTGTATGCACAGCTAAACAGAACTGTCTTTAACCTGGTTTTAAACATTTTCAGAGAGGAGGCCTGTCTCACAGCTTCAGGAAGATTGTTCCAGATTTTAACGAATCTGAAATGCAGCCTCCCCATGTTTAGTTCTGACTCTGGGCACCAGCAGGAGTCCTGTCCCTGTGCTCACACACACACACACACACACACACACACACACACACACACACACATCCTTCAGAACATTAGAGCAGGAAGCCCTCTCAGCTGAGTCGTATCCATTCGGACATGTGACCTTGTTTATTCTGTCCTTGTTCATGGATGTGCAAGTACTGGAAAGGTCCTGGATCTGAGAGACCTACTCTTAATAAAGACTCGTGAGATTGTTTGTGATATAACACTGACATTTCCCCACTGTGAAACAAATAAAGGATCTCTTTTTAATCTTCATCTCATTACGTGATCCAGTTCATTCTTAGTTTCTCAATATTCTTAGTTTCTCAATGTTACAATAGAAGTAACATGGTATTACAAAGTTTGCAATCATTTAACATGTTTTTGCACAGTTGTCAAACAGTTGTGATACATTTACTGTACAGAAAATCTGCCATTGTAGACTTTACAAATTAGTTTTACTGTTAAATTGTAAAATATCTGTGAGCCTGTCCCTCCATGTCCTCGGCTGACAGCATTTTTATTGGATAATCAGCTTCAGAACCAAAATATTAAGATGAAATCCACATAATAGAGAAATATGGTGCGTACAGATTGTACAATCAGAAATTGGGGTAACACGGCTGTAAAACAAAAATGTAAATCAAGCAAATGTGTAATTTAAGTGTAGAAGTGTGTAAAACTTGTTTTTTATTCAAGACATTCGCTGTCAGTTGGCAGTTAACAACTGAACACAGTTGTTGTGTTCAAATAGCTAATATACAATATGGGATTTGATGTCAGGATGGGCTCACATCAGAACTACCCATACAGCAGGCTAACAGGATGTCAGTGATTGTAATATATTCAATTAATCAAATGAACAATAAACTAATAGTAAATCCAATCCATTAACACATTGCTGTCTAATTGGTGAACAGACAATATTTTGTCAGTTGGGGCTACTTTTTACTCAAATAGATGACACTTCCAAAGCATCAATATATTAATATATACTGTACATATTTGTCCATTGTAGAGCCAGCTGCAGGTGAAAGCCTGATCCCATCAGACCGCAGGGAAGGGCCTGGGTAGTACTGTGATGGAAGACCTATGAGAACACCAGGGGCAACAGTGGGGCGCTGTAAAGTGCCAAACTGGTTGTCAAAATTTTGTTTGCTCGGTTTCTCTTTGACTTTTTAAACATTTCCTCTTTGTGTTTGACCTTGGTGTGACCTCTGTGTCTTGCAGACACTGAAACTGTCGAGTCGAGTCTTGGACAAGATCAGCACCGGACAGCTCGTCAGCCTCATGTCGGCGCATCTCAACAAATTGGACGAGGTATGACCACCACTCACATATCGGGTTCCACAATTGTCAAATTTTTAACCCTTAAAAGGAGGTAACACGATAAAATAAAACATACAAATCTAACAAAAAAATTACAAAATCTTACATGTTGAACTACTATAGCTGATGTGTAGTAGTTCCACAGTTACTCATATCCTCTCCTTAGCACAGCACCTTGTACAAAGAAGCATTTTCAATAGTGCTGCGCGAGGCTTTCCGCTTCAAAAGACACATGCTGGTGCTGTGTCAGGAATTGTGACATTGCACCTGGTCCTGTCATACTTGGTACGGTCCACTCTTACCTCGTTCAATGTACTTGTGTGATACTAAGCTGTTCAGTAGAAGATGGCACTGCTGAATATTTTAGAGGTTTGACAGCACTCATTTTCATCAAATATCTAATCCTTTCTCGCAACAAGCTTTTTGGAGGCCAAGAGAACCCTTTATTTGTACCCTGTTAAAGCGAAGCTGAGACAAGTCATTCAGCAGAAGGACCTGGGACAGAGCAGGGACCAGGCACAGCATGGGGATGGACAGACATTTTTGGATTGAGTGCTTTGGAAAAGCCAAAGATATAAGCTGTGAGTTCAGGTGATGTGAAAAGGGCATAAAGTGTATGGTGAGGGGTTTTACAGCCTTAAAACATACAGGGATTTCGTCCATTACTGTACATATGATCATGGGAGCTTTCTCCCCCCATATCGTCCAGCCTGATTTTTTTACCTCTACTTGCAAGGCTCTTTAGCACATGAGCTGCTGTTGCGGCTCAGACTGACCTGGAGGCTCGGGCACTCTGCGTCTCTGGGCCTGAGCCTGGTTTGATGACTTTGAAACCAGCGGCTTTGTTTTCTGATAAAAGCTGTGGTTTTTCCTGAGCCCCGCAGCGCTCAGAGACTGTGGGTGTGTGGGGGACTTCAATGCAGAGGTCAAGCATTAAACAAACCGGGGAAAAGGTTTTAAAGACGGAGATAAGGAATACTTTGTACAGACAACAACGGAAGCAGAGAATAGATTTGATCCCTCAAGTCTGTATACAGCAGCCTCAAGGAAACTGTTTTTTATCAAGAACATGAGACCATGAGCACTTCCCTATTTTGCCCATGAACCCTATTGGGCTTCATTGAGCTATGGGGTTAGCATTGTCCATTTATTTACAGTCTATGGCATACGTGTCAAACACAAGGCCCGCAAGACCAATTTTAGAGGCCCCTGAACTGATTTTCAATTATTATGATTAACTTAATGGTAATATGTTATTGTGGTTATTGGCATGGCCTCATTTTTTTTCAAGATTTTTTATTTTATTTTATTGTCAGAACACGCAATTTTTCATATATATTCAAACATCATATCAGCCCACATCAGCTAGATCGGCTCAAATCGGCCACTTCCTCATTAAGGCTAACACTGAATTGATGTCACACTCTGTCATTTTGCTCCTCAACTATGGTCTTCAGTTGTGACATAAGCTTAAGTCCTCGTTCCCTGGAGCGTTGGTGAAGCCGGGGTGTCAACTCCCTCTCACTGTGCTGTTGAATGTGGGGACACAGTGTGGTCAGCTCCAGCACAATTATCACTCACACGATACTGAGCAAAAGAAAACTCAGTCATCTGAACATTTAGGATTCATTTATTTCAGAATATTACATAACGTACAGACCTACAAGACATCTAACAAAACGCAAAACTAGGATCTCAGTGATTTCATGGTTCAGACCCTTGTTTGGTTCAGGCCGTGTTTGTGTGTTCAGGACATGGTCAGATGTAAGGGAGGGGACAAACACTGAGCGGTAAATTACAATTGTGTACTAGTCGTCTGTGTTGTTGTATTCTTAATATTTAACTCTCATGTCATTCACATTTGGATGTCATTTGTAAATACCAGAGGTCTTTTGTTTTTCCAGACTTCTCAGTGTCTGGGTCTGGCTCTGGCTCACAGTTGTGTTGTGTTGCAGAGCCTGGGTCTGGGTCTGGCTCACTCTTTTGTTGTGTTGCAGAGCCTGGGTTTGGCTCACTTTGTGTGGATCACTCCGCTGCAGTGCATCTTGTGTGTGGGACTGATCTGGGAGCTGATCGAGGTCAACGGCTTCTGTGCTCTGGCCGCTCTCACTCTGCTGGGACTCATCCAGGCCTGGCTCTCGCAGAAGATGGGACCTCACCGGTGAAAGCACACACACACACACACAAACACACACAAGGCCTGGCTGTCGGTCAATTTGGACTGGTCCTAAACTTGTTCTGATTTGGTCCTGGACTGGTCTTGGTCTGATCCTGGACTGGATCTGGACTGGTTCTGGACTGGTCCTGGACTGTTTCTGAGCCGAGTCTTGGTTTTCCACTAGAGAGGAATAAGTGCTAGTTACCACAGCAACACACTGTTTACTTGGTTGCCTTTCACCAAACTGTTTTTGTTATATCATATGTTATGTAGGGCTGTCAAACTGCGTCCCCATAACATCACACGTTCAGGACTATTCTCTGCTTGTTGTGTGCATGTCTTTGCGTAACCTGTACATGCAATAATTACACCTCTGAAGCTGGACCACGGAGCCTCAGTCTCCTCCGTGTCTTCTCCCGAAGCACAGACGCTAAATTAAAGTTGGGGTACCTATTTTTTTCTTTCCACTACCAGTTCATGTTGGTTGTGCCCAAAAGTAAAATGTTGTGAACAAATAAAACAGATTTAATGACATTCTGTATTTCAGACTTTTTTGAAATGTCTCTCATCCCAAACAATCTGAGTCTATTACAGAAAGGCAGAATGTTAAAGTAGCAGTATGTAATATTTGCATGTCAAGACATCATTAAATGGCCCCAATATTTCAAAAGGCATTATTAAATCATGCTCTTTTCGAATACATGTTTAACTGATAACAGTAGTTCAGCCGAGATATTTGAAAATCAAAATTAGTTTTACGACCCGTAAAAGTTGTTATTGTTTTCATTTCGATGTCCCACCCTCCGCCGTTTCACCAGTCAGGAAGTCCGAGATCCAGACTTGCCAGAACTCCCCGTGGCTAGCTAGTCTCACTGGTAAAATAACATGTGGCCGCAGAACTAAAAAAGGTCTTATTATGACTCTCAAATCATTAATTGCAAAGCAAAGACTAAAACAAGCATTTATATCGGGACGCCTTTGAAAAATTTAGACAATTGAAGGAAGATACAAATGTTTTGTGTGATGCAAAACTTGTTGCGTTGAGTGAGAACTTCATTGACAGTTGAAGTATCTGCCTGGAGATTATTTATTGCATGCCAAGGTGGTCTAACGGTTAAATGATAGCGCTCACATCGCAGCGACCTGAGAATGAATCCGGGTGAAATGTTTTTTGAATTAAACTATTTAATATTATATTCTATGAAAGATTGCTTAAAAATGGTAAAAGGTAAAAACAAGCCGTTATTTGCAGATTAAATCTTAATTGTAATAAGTATTATTTGAGACCACATGAACCCCAATTAAAATAATGTTAGTCTCTTTTTGATGTGGGACTTGTATACATGTATGTCTAAAAAATTGGGAATAAAAATAATTTAAAGGTGATATCCTCTGAAGAAATATGTTCCAACACCCATTCTTCCCATGCCTATTTTGGACATCAATTGCTTATATATTTAGCATAATCAATGTATAATTACATTGCTTTTTTTTAGGTTTTTTCATCTCAAATGTCCAAATAAAAATAAATAAAAAAACACTCATTCAAAACATTCATTCAACAGCACGGCTATCATGGCAATGTGAATGAAGACAGACAAACAACTGATAAAATAATTCCATGTGTTTGCTGCTGGATTTGGTGCGTATCTGGCAACCTGAGTCAGGAAGAGTGGAAGAAGACTACAAAATATTGACTGACTGCAGTACCACTTTTGGCCAGATTTTTACATAAAGCTCCTTTAATTGTTAATGCAATTTTATGTGGATTTATTGTAGAACAAACAAATGCAATACATATGTACACTATGTTGTCATTTATCTTCCCATTCAAACAACCATTTACAGTGAAATATGGCAGAATTTTGCATAAATGCGATTATCCATCCATCCATTTTCTTCCCCTTAATCCATTCCTGGGTCGGGGGGTGGCAGTCAGAGCTGCATCCAATTCACAGAGCACCCGCCCCTAACTGATCCTCCTGCAGGTGGTGAGTCCACAGGGGCCCCTGTCTTTCAGCAGGGACTTCAGGCCAAGTGGGGTTAAGTATCTTGCCCAAGGACACAATGACAGCCAACATCAGTGATTAAGCGAAATGCGATTAATTACAATTAATTCATTTTTAAGCTGTAATTAACTCGATCCAAAATGTTAACAAATTGACAACCCTAAATCCCAGTCTTGGACCTCTGTGAACTACTCATCAATTTTGTTGGTCTACTGTTACATAGAAAAATGTTATTGGCGCCAAAGAATTAAAAAAAAAAAAAAAAGCCGCAACCTTTAATATAAAGGAATAAAGCCGTGGCTTATAGTGAGGAATTCACAGTAGTTTTAATCAAACTGGTGGAAAACCAACACACTTTTTCAGAATTTCATTGGTTTGAATGTACTACTTGTACTCTAGATGTAACGTATAATTTTTTTCTGTTTTTAATAGTTTCAGAATCCTGGTCTTATATGTCACACATGGAAACGGTTCTTTGGACCCGGTTTATAAAGAGACAGCTGTTAATGGAGAATGCTTATTATTGAGTATAAAATCAATAAAAAGCAAACAAAATCGATAAAAACCTCTGCTATAAGATACGGGGTTAACACAGGGCAAAAAATTAGGGGCTAAAATAAGGCTAAAAATATGCTTAAACGAGGCACAGTGGATTAGTACTGTTTTGGCGGCGGCTCCAGCTCTCCGTTTCCATTCTCTTCATCTTGTCCTTTTGCCACGACCTGGGCTGCCAGACCACAGGGCTTTTGCCCTTATTTAAAACCCACCACAGCCCTTGCACCTACGAAGAAATTGTGAAAAGTGGTTTTATCTATATTATAACCAAGCTCTGCTCAAAGGCACTACTCCTGTCTCCTCTTAAGCCCTTTTTCCACCAGCCGTATATTCTACTCTCCTCTCCCTGGTTGCGTTTCCATTAAGTTTTATTATCTGATACCAAATTATAGCAACCTATCCACCTCAAGCCAGTATCTGAACGTATTCTTAGTAACCATGGCTTTCAGCAGGACTCTGGCCAATCACTGTCAGTTAGAACACTTTAGTACCAACTCGGCCTGGATAGAACCAGGGCCAAGAGGGACTAAAACAGTACTTGGTACAGGTGAAACATGGGTCATTGGAAACACTCCCAATGGCCCCACCATAGATCCACCATAGAAAACCAATGACTGTGTCCAGTTATTTCTCATGCTTGTAATCCTGTTTTCTGCTCAGGGTCATTCAGAGGACCTTCAATATCTCATACAGTCTGCAATTCCTCCAATAATTTAACTCCACTGCCTTCCTATTTTATTATTGTTTTGTCAATTTTAGAAGCATGCGATGTACCCCGCGCATGCAGCGAGAGCTATAGGAGGAATAGCTGACAGTAATAATAGTCATTCCTCCAATATTCAGAGTTGAATCACCCAGCTACTTACCCAGCTGTTATTATTGTGTGTTCATTTTTTAGAAGCATGCAAGGTACCGTTGCACGCAGCTATAGGAGCAATGGGTTCCAGATGCCATACTGTAGCTGGACATGTGGCTAATGCAGTAATGTGACTATCCTGGTATTTGTGGTCTGAAAGGACTTTTAGTGATCAGGCGATGTCCACAGCAGCATTGAAGGAGATACAGGGAGTATTAATTATTCAATTATATGTGCTAGGGGGTTTGGACATTCGCCTTAAATCTGTGTAAGTAATCTGATACTGTAAACCATCTACTTGTGTAATACATGTAATGGTCATGTTTACCCTCTTTAGTATACAGTAGGGCTGGGCAATAAATCGAATTTAGGCAATTAATCGGCTTTGGCAAAAATCAAATTTGTGAAAAATGTGAAAATCGTGAAATCGAGTGAAGGATATTGTGAGAGTTCCAGCAGCACATGAATTATACTTGCAATTGCTGACAAGACATTTATAAAACGTATGGGGGAAACAAATTAAAAATAATTTTGAAACTTGAATATATTTTTAAGGGCAAACTTAAATGAAAATCGATTTCAAGTAAAAGTAAAATAAAATCAAGATTTTACTTTTTTTGTCATATCGCCCAGCCCTAGTATACTGCTATGGAACTTAAAGGATACATAAGTCTTGTTTGCACCAGCTCTACTCTGCTCTACTCTACTCTATCTCGATTTCTCCCGGCCCTGTTCAACTGGTACCATGTTTTTCTTTAGTGTTCTCACTGACAGTGATTGGCCGGAGTGCTGCTGGAAGCCACGGTTACCGAGGAATTTCCACGGATACTGGTTTGTTGGTACCAGATAATGAAGCGTAATGGAAACACAACCGGGTTGAGTTGAAATTACGTTCTTTACAATCACATGTTTGTGTTTGCAGATGGTAAAAAAAAGAAGCACATTTTCCTCTGGTTTTAGCATAGAGAGTTACATTAGCATTTTTCACCCTTCATAATTGTTTCACCATAAATGTCTCTACTGAAGACATTATTCAACATACTAAATTACAAAATATAGCGCAATATTTCATCTTTATATGTTACATTTGTAATAATTTTGGTTGTGTAATTTCAGGGTGAAGCGTGCCGGAATGATAAACCGGCGTTTGGCTCTGACCTCTGAAATCGTTGAGAACATCCACTCTGTGAAGGCATATGGCTGGGAGGACATCATGGAGACCATCATCAAGAACATCAGACAGTAAGAATTCACTCTTTCCAATTAAGGCTTAGAAGGTTCTTATAATAAGACAGTACTGCAAAAAAGCAACACAGGAAAACCTCAAAACAGCAATTTCTGACCACTGCAAAAGAGAAATTCACATATTGGACTGAAACAATACAAAAATAGTAAGAATGGAAGAACATTCCAATGGAGCAATATAAACATATAGACAACTTTAGAAAGGAAAAAACTGTGCGGCGCAATAGGCCAAACATGGCTCCACAGCTTGTTATGCTGTCATTATGCAAAGTACATAAAACAGGGTCATAAACATAGGTACATAAGTCCCAAGACGGGTTAAATTTTGTTCTGACAGACCTGGGGTTTTTGAGTAAAATGAGCCTGATGACTTCCAATAAGAAAGTAGAGAGTATCAGTATATAGCAGACAGAAGCAAGTTAGGTCTTCTTTCAAAATATAAAAAATATTCCGAAACATCACATTAGCCTGATATATTTCTGGGGTCATTGCTCACAGTCTAATCTCTCTAAATAACTGTTGTGTGTGATGTGGCTGTGTTTATTCCCATCTGTGAGGCTTTGTGTCTCAGTGTTACTGCTGCTGCACCTGTGGAAAACCTGTGTGAGTTACAGAGCAGCGCCACAATCCGAAACTAGTGATAAAAGCCGTAAGAGAGAGAGACACGAGCCAGCATTCAGAGAAAGCAGCAGCTGTGCTGGTGGGATAGGAAAACATTCAAACTGACAATAATGCATCGGTTTTATATGGCGATTTTTTTGGACACTCAAAGACGCTTCACATGTCATTATTCATTCACTCCATACACAGTGGTGATAAACTACTACTTTAGCCACAGCTGCCCTGGGGCACACTGACGGAAGCAAGGCAACCAGTCTGTGCCATCGGCCTCTCCGACCACCACCAACCATTCACACACACCAGACTCATTCTAGGCAATGTGGTTGAAGTGTCTTGCCTAAGGACACAACGGCAGTATGGCACTTTACAGCCGCAGCCGCCCCACTGTGGCATCAGGTATTCCCAGAGGTTTAGTGTCTTGCCAAGGACACAGCCACAGCATACAGTGGGAGTCGGTGCAATAACACAAATGAACACTAGGTTAGGGTTAAGGGTTGTGTTAGGGTAAGGGTGACTACTAGAGAAGAGAGAGAGCAGAGAGGGGAGAGATAGGAGAGGAGAGGAGAGGGCGAGAGGATGGGAGAAAAGAGAGAGGTGAGAAAAAAGAGTGGAGAGAGGAGAGAGGATAGGAAAGATAGGAAATAGAAGAAAGGCTAGGGAAGAGGAGAGAAAGAGGAGAGGAGAGGTGCAGTTGAGAGAGAGGAGAGAGAGTATCCCTATTTAATAACACTTTGGGCAACAGAAAGAGTCTTGTAAAAATACAGATCACACCACGACATGCTGTCTTCATTTCATTAGAAACATTTGTGTAAGAAAGAGCCCTGTGAGTCACTATTTGAGGATTTGGGCTGAGAATGAAGGTTTTTTTTGCCTGAAAAAGCTGATCTAAAGATGTGACAGATACAAAAATACATTTATGTGAAAACTAGTGATAGAACTCGCTTTGTTTTTAGAGAGTGGAACTGGATCCAATGTTCAAATGTTGTGGTTTGAAAGTTACGTACCCAGGCTTCAAGTTGTCGAACCAGTAACTCAAAAAGCCTGTCTCTACTTGGTACAACACACAAGTGTTTTTCCTGCAGAGACGAGATGACGCTGACAAGGAAGATCGGCTCGCTGCGGTACTTCTACAGCGCAGCCTACTTTTTCTCAGCCATCTTGGTGATCGTGTCAGCCATCGTCCCGCACGCTCTCAGTAAGGGCATCATCCTCAGGCGGATCTTCACCACCGCCTCCTACTGCATGGTCCTGAGGATGACACTCACACGACAGCTGCCCGGCTCCATCCAGATGTGGTACGACACGCTGGCTCTGGTCAAGAAGATAGAGGTACAGACAGATCTCCGTCTTTTCATTCAACTTACTATGCCTCACTTTTGTGTTTATTTGAACCATTCACGGTAATGTGGAGAGAGGAGAGAGAAGAGTGAGAGAGAAGAGTGAGAGGAAAGAGAAGAGAGGAAAGAGGAGAGATGAAAGGAAGAGAGGGGGAAAAAAGAGGTATGAGAGGAGAGAGAGGAAAGAGAGGATTCCCTGCTATTCATAAGGTAATTTCCCCACCAGTGTTTGGCAAGTTACTTAGAAAAAGTAGTTACATTACTTAGTTACTTCTGCAAGTAACAACAACGTTACATTATTTTTAGATGACTTTGTGTCATGTTTGTATGTTTGCTTTATTAAAGTAATACATACAAACATGACACAAAGTCATTTGCTGGGTCAAAGTCATTTGACCCAGCAAACATGACACAAAGTCATTTGACCCAGCAATGTTGTTATTGCTGGGTCAAATGGCAGAACATTAACATGGAAGTCAATGTAGCCAGGACAATTGCTGTAGCACTTCTCCAAATAATTTTGACGCTGCAAGTGTTTTAAAAGGGTCAAGGATGAGTTGGCTGCATATAGTTAAAAAGGTGCATATTAATGTTTTATCCTCCGGTAAAACAAAAGAATCTCCTCATGTGCTCAATGTGACAGAAGCACCAGGCAGCACACAAATCCGTGTATCATTCGTTCTTTTGATTTTCTAAATAAAACCAACATTGAAAAAACGAATAATGAGGGATGTTTTTGATTCTCAATATTTGAATTTAATGCAAAATTGAAATATCGGTTTGTTTTTGGTTTTCTGTGGATCTAATTAAAACAAAAATGCAGTAAACCAATAATGATCGTCTAAATTACTTTTTGCAATTTCCATTTGAAACACAAGAATCCCCCGGAAGTGATTCGCAAGTGCGCACCCCGCAGGTAAACAGTGGAGTAGCGGTGGAGATGAACTAAATGATGGGTGCGTTGGAAGACTTTGCAGATACAGCGATAGAATGCTTCTAAAACATTCAAACATATGCAGAAATATCAACCACGTTACACCGACTAGGTTTGTCCAAATGTCAAGTCATCAGCTGAAACATGTCTCTTCTTTTTGATACAGTGGTTAATCACGAAAGCAAACTTTTTGAAGTGGCGTTATTTCATCGTATAGGGCTCACAGAAAGGTATTCTGAGTAAATGTATTCATTAAACATGGATCATGTTCCTGCCCAGTATATACTGTACATACATATATTTTTTTTTTACATATCAGCCACCTTAAAACTATTGCTGCTCCATCTCTTTTTCCTGGAATAATTTTATTGCAACATTCAAGAGGGATTCTGTCTCCCGAGGCTCAGGAATCACAGCTTGTTGTGTTTTGGCAAATTATGAAGGCCAAAGACTAAATTCATCATTTATGTAAATCTTCTGTGTGTCTGTTCCAGTGTAAATATTTTTGATTAGTTTGTTCCCAAATTAAAACACACTTGGACACACTATTAGTGGATTATGTATCAATAGATTTATGAATTAGGAAATGACATTCTTAACTAAACAAGACTGTAAAATGACAAGTTGTGTATTTGAATGTACCTTTACAGAACAACTTACACCTCAGACTTCCTTTCAGCAGCAACATGGGTCCAATTTTATTTAGACTTGACTAAGGACTTACATGCAAGCACAGGATCCAGAGCTAAGAATGAAAGAATACAACAACAAAAAAGCCGTGTTAAAAAGACACATAATCACATATTTACAGCAAGTCACACATACAAAGAAGCCAGTGACTCCAAAGTTTAGAAGTGAACCTGACTGAGCTAATGTAAGGGCAAACCAGGGACTGTACAATACTATTAGGTACCATCATGACTCTACACATAAACCGATAGTAGCAGTGACGTAGGAAAGGAGCGCACCCTGCACTCAGCAAACATCTGACTGGACGACTGTGTCTGGGATCTTCAGCAGCATCCTCATTGAGTCATAGGAAACTGTTAACCTCTGCAGACTGACCTGCTTGTAGCTCCGCCACAGTTGGTCTGTGAATAAAGGAGCCCAAAAAGACTGGAACAAGGAGGTTTTTACATTCACAGAACACGTTAGACTTCATAACCAGCATGTTAGATTGACCATACAGTTTACATCTCTATCTGTGAGGTCACTGCGTGTGTAATGCCCATTAAGACCAGGACAACTGGATTTAAGAACAGTTTTTACACTTTCAAATGTGACAGAACATAATGTACACTGATGAGTACGTGCTTTTTCATGCAATGATTCTAATTTTGTAACATAAATTTACAATGATAAACACGAGTTGAAAGTTTAAAATGTAAAGGAACAAAAAGGAGATTTGTAGATCAGTTATTAATTTTATTGCATTGACATAAACACATCTTTGCAGATCACTGGTACAGGCCAAGGCTGGGAGTAGTGTGAAGTCTGAAACCTTTACCTGCTGCACACCCAGTGAGATCTAAAACAGAAAAGTGGGTTTAGAACAGACATATAATTATTACTTGTTATAACTTAACTATCTTATAAAGTCAGCAGAAGAGAAATAGTAACCACCAAACAGAAAGATGCTATGCTAGTCTTCTATCAGGACAGGAACTCAAACTGAACATGAGCCCAGCGGCTTTGACTGTTTCAAACCTGCAGTCTTTCTGACTGTTTCAAACCTGCAGTCTTTCTGACTGTTTCAAACCTGCAGTCTTTCTGACTGTTTCAAACCTGCTGTCTTTCTGACTGTTTCAAACCTGCAGTCTTCCTGACTGTTTCAAACCTGCAGTCTTTCTGACTGTTTCAAAGCTGCAGTCTTTCTGACTGTTTCAAAGCTGCAGTCTTTCTGACTGTTTCAAAGCTGCAGTCTTTCTGACTGTTTCAAACCTGCAGTCTTTCTGACTGTTTCAAAGCTGCAGTCTTTCTGACTGTTTCAAACCTGCAGTCTTTCTGACTGTTTCAAAGCTGCAGTCTTTCTGACTGTTTCAAACCTGCTGTCTTTCTGACTGTTTCAAACCTGCAGTCTTTCTGACTGTTTCAAACCTGCAGTCTGACTGTTTCAAACCTGCAGTCTTTCTGACTGTTTCAAACCTGCAGTCTTTCTGACTGTTTCAAACCTGCAGTCTTTCTGACTGTTTCAAACCTGCAGTCTTTCTGACTGTTTCAAACCTGCAGTCTTTCTGACTGTTTCAAACCTGCAGTCTTCCTGACTGTTTCAAAGCTGCAGTCTTTCTGACTGTTTCAAACCTGCAGTCTTCCTGACTGTTTCAAACCTGCAGTCTTCCTGACTGTTTCAAACCTGCAGTCTTCCTGACTGTTTCAAACCTGCAGTCTTTCTGACGGTTTCAAACCTGCAGTCTTCCTGACTGTTTCAAACCTGCAGTCTTTCTGACTGTTTCAAACCTGCAGTCTTTCTGACTGTTTCAAACCTGCAGTCTTCCTGACTGTTTCAAACCTGCAGTCTTTCTGACTGTTTCAAACCTGCAGTCTTTCTGACTGTTTCAAACCTGCAGTCTTTCTGACTGTTTCAAACCTGCAGTCTTTCTGACTGTTTCAAACTGGCAGTCTGAGGGCTCCTCGTTTCTCTTCATAAGCCTGAAGCATCTAGCTCTAACTACTGTCCCTCGACAATAATTGAGAATGAAGCAGAAACAAAGCACAATTGAATGGTTAAGGTACATCTAGCATCATCTTTTATTTACTAAAATGTAGCATGATTACTTTCACCAATACACAAACATATCATGTTCTTATATAATATGAAAGTCTATAACTTACATTTATAATAATAAAGCACTCACATTAGGTACATTTGTTACATGTGTAACGCTAAGTGTTTCATGTTTGTCGGAGCTAACGCTAACTTAGCTGTTAGCGCTAGTTGCTAAGTTATGTCTTACCTTGACACTTGTGTATATATTTTTCATCAAAGAACCCCTTCTCTCTTGAATCTGAGAATTCTCATCTGCGATGGTCTCTGCAGCAGCGAACGAAAAAGCTGGTAATCTGACTGATGTTGAGGAGAGTTTTAAGAGACATTTCTCCTACAACCAACGCTAACAAGGTGCGATCCAAGTACCTGGAGGCGACACTTCCTGGTCTCGTGACAAACGCGCACTTTCGAATCACTTCCGGGGGATGTTTGTGTTTCAAAGGAAAATCGCAAAATGTAATTTAGACGGTCATTATTGGTTTACTGCATTTTCGTTTTAATTGGATCCACAGAAAACAAAAAAACAAGCCAATATTTCAATTTTGCATTAAATTCAAATATTGAGAATCAAAAACATCCCTCGTTATTTGTTTTTTCAATGTTGGTTTTATTTAGAAAATCAAAAGAACGAATGATACACGGATTCAAACAGTCTATGGTTCTCCCCTGTGTTCCCCGTTGGCTCGGTGCTTACTGGGGTTTGATGTGGAGTCCTTCACTATTTTTATTCCCTTGCAGTTTACGGTGGACGCTGATACTTTTGTCACGGCCTCGTACTCAAAGTAATACCAGTATCTCCATGAATGAATTGCTCCGCAATCGTCCTCGCTAACATCCTTTACGTTGCCGCTTGTAATATTTACAGTTTGTCACGTCGCAGTGGTCGCAGCTCTCATACAACATTCATTTGTCACTCACGGGTCGACAAGCCAAAAGTCACAACACTCACGGTTTTGTAACGCATTGTAACGCTGCTTGCTTTGGAGAAAGTAAAATGCAATCACATTACTTATTTTGCGGATGTAATCCCTTACTTTACTAATTACTCAGAAAAGTAATAGGATTACAGTAACGCATTACTTTTATCACGTTACTGACACTGACACACTGTTCCCCACACAAGTTTTTCCCATACTGAGCGACACACTATATCCAAACGACACACAAGCATTTAACTTGCCTTGTGACCGAGTCTTTTTGCCAAGGAGTGTTCTTTTTGTGGTGAAATATACACAGTAAGAAAAGGCCTTATGTCACCGTCAAATTAAATCCCTGTCGTTTTGTGTTCAGGAGGTTTCTGATGAAGGAGGAGCACAGAGTTCTGGAGTACAATCTGACCACTACAGAAGTGGAGCTGCTCAACGTCTCTGCTTCATGGGACGAGGTCAGTGTCAAAAGTAATTTCTAACCTGTCTCTTTACATTCTAAAAATAACCCAAAATAAGCGAATACCGTAATGTAGCAGTCTTATTTTAAGGCTGTAAAACCCCTCACCACAAACTAGACTGTTCACACTTTATAGACTGTTCTAACTACGGAAGCAGCCTCCTGATTGGACAAAATTAATTCAAATTCTCATCTCAAATTCCCCTTATCATTGGTTGAACTGTTTTCCTCCAGCAAATACTACTGGTCGATGTAATACCAAGGGGAGGTATACCAGTGTCCCATGGTCAGAAATATACATATATTCTTTAAAGCCTTTACAGCTGGAATAATTAACTTTTGTTTGTTCCAACAGAAAGAGTTTTGTAAAAGTAGAACGTAATTAACAAATCAGACCAAAACAGGCAGGCTATATCTTTTGAGAAAAGGTGTCAAAAGGTGTAGGCTGAAGTGGACTGACCCAGTGCTGAAGTCACGTCAAATAATCACAGTGCATTAAAAAAAAGTAAAGATAAAGACAAAAATATAAAGCCCCTCAGTTGTACAGTGTGCACACTTTTTTTTAACAAAAGTGTTCATTGTTGTTACAAGCTTCACAGTTTATCTCCACATTTATGCAATACAGAAAGCTTTAAGTAAGTGTTATTCAGAAAGAAGACACACTTCATAACAAAAACAAGTGAAAAAGAAAAAGAACAAACAAACAAAAACAAAGTCTCGGCAGATTGACAATGAAATCTATGCTTTTAAAGATTGAGCATCCTTAAGTGTCCAAATGGAAAGAAAGAAAAGGACTGTCACTAGAACTCTGGCCATCATTTCTGTGGCAAATTTAAATATTTTACTAACCTTTTTTCAAACTTAGTCATGTTAAGATTTAGTTTTGATGTTATTCTTTCCATTGTGTATACCTGTATAACTCTCTCCCTCCATTGTTTTATTGTGGGGGGTAGTGGTTTGTACCAGGACACAGTTATCATTTTTTTCGCTACCAGTAAAAGAACCATCAACAGGTACCTTTTGTCCCCACTCAGAACATCAGGTAAGAGCATTCCAAAGATAAAAGCCAGTGGGTCCCATTCTATGTGAATGTGTAGTATTTTAGAAAGTTCCCCCCTAATTCCCTCCCAAAATGATTTTAATTTTGGACAGTCCCAAAAGATATGTGTGTGGTCGCCAACTTGTCCACATTGTCTCCAGCATAAATTTGTTTTTGTCTTATCATATTTTGAAATCATGAATGGGGTTTTAAAATATCTAATATTCACTTTCCAGAAAAATTCTTTCCATGTTGGGCTAGTCCATATGGAAGTATGGTCTATGTCCATATTCACACATCTGCTCCCAGTCGTGGTCCTCTATAGTTCTATTCATTTCCAATTCCCACTTTTCTTTTATCTCAAGAGAACTCGTCGACATAGTTGATTGTAAACATTTAAATAAGCATGACACAACTTTATCACATTTAATTTTCTTCCTGGTCTTTATAAACATCCTCTCCAGCTCACTTGGTTGTGATTTTAAAAATAACCATTGTGAGAAATCAGATAACTTCTCAACTGCAAAAATTTATAAAAATTTGTTGTGTTCAAATTGAATTTCTCCCTGATCTGATCAAATGATTTCAGAACCTCCCCATCGAACAAATCATCTATAAAAATTAAATTGTACCTTTCCCATTCTCGAAACCTTGAATCTAGTTGTCCTGGTCGAAAGTCAATTAGTTCTGATATTTTCATAGCTCTAGATATTGATTGAGGGGCGTTTATCTTCTTCCTAACAATATTTAAAACCTTATGCGTGCATTTCATCCAGGAGTTTTCTATTTTACATTTATTCCATATCTCTTTCGAACAAAACGCTAAAGCTGGCATAGGTATATCAGAGCACTCACTTTGTTCTAGAGTTATCCATGTTGTTTCCTCACTTTGCTTTAACCACTCCACTGCCCCACGTAATTGTGCTGCCCAGTAGTATAAATGTAAATTAGGTAAATTTAGCCCACCAAAAGCCTTACTGCTGGTAAGTCGTGTACATTTTATTCTAGGTTTCTTTTTCTGCCAAATAAAATTAGAAATCATTTTCTGAATCTTTTTGAAATATGTTGTAGGGATCCAGATGGGGAGGGACGAAAACAAATATAGGAGTCTGGGGAGGATGTTCATCCTGATAGTTTCAACTCTCCCAATGAAAGAAAGGGGTAGTAAATCCCATCTTTTGAGATCTTTTTGGATTTGATTAATTAATTTTCCATAGTTTGCTTTATATAGTAGTGATGTATCCGAAGTAATAATAATGCCCAGATACCTGAATCCGTTGGATGACCAGTTAAATGTAACTCTTTTGGACAGTTCTGTGGGCCATGTACCTTTTATCATCATGGCCTCTGATTTTAGTTCATTAACTTTGTACCCTGAGACATCCCCAAAATCTCCTAGACATTTCAAAAGTTCTGGGATAGAAGTGATTGGATCTTTGATATATAATATAATATCGTCAGCATATAATGATAATTTATTGGTCTTAACTTTATCTGATATACCTATGATTGCTGGATTATTTCTGATTAATTGTGCTAAAGGTTCTATACTAATAGCAAACAAAATTGGTGACAAGCAACATCCTTGGCGTGTACCTCTTTTCAGTGGGAAACTCTCTGACATGTGACCATTAACACGGACCCTTGATGTGGGTTTTGTATACAGTACCTCAAACCATTCAACAAAATTCTCGTCAAAGCCCATTTTTATCAAGACACTTTTCAAAAATAACCAGTCCACCCGATCAAAAGCCTTCTCAGCGTCCAGGCTGAGAAGCATTGATGTGTCGGGGTCCTTTCGCGCAGTAGATATCACATTTAGGGTGCGTCTAATATTATTCATTCCCAGTCTGCCTGGAATAAATCCAGTTTGATCCGGATTAATGAGGTCATTAATAATATTTTGGAGTCTTTTGGCTAAGATTGCGCTCAAGATTTTAACATAATTGCAAAGTAAACTTATGGGTCTGTAAGATGCGCATTGTGTGGGGTCTTTCCCCTCTTTGTGTATAACTGAAATGATTGCTTCAGCCCATGTTTTAGGTGGCTCTTTATTATTCAGTGCATAGTTGTACACTCTTTGTAGAAGGGGAGTAGTTCTGACTGGAAACACTTATAAAATTCGCCGGGGAACCCGTCCGCTCCGGGAGATTTATTATTTTTAAGTATTCCTATTATGGATTTAATTTCTTCTTTTGTAATACTGCCTACTAGGGCTTTAGCCTTATTTGTATCTAATTGTGGAAGATTTATTTTTTGGAGTAGGTCATCTATTTTTTCTCTTTTATTATAAGTGGGCTCAGAATCATAAAGTTGTTTATAATATTCAGAGAAAGCATTGGCTATTGCTCTGGGATGAGACACCAACCTTTTGGATATTGAGCATGACATTTTTTGAACTACTCTACTTGCCTGAGCTTTCCTTAGTTGAAAAGCAAATAATCTACTCGCTTTATTTCCTTGCTCGTAATATCTTTGATTGGTGAAGGCACCTTCTGCCTTATACGTCAATATTTCATTCAGTTCTTGTTTACATTTTTCCAACTTATTAAAAGTATCATTGTCATTAGTTCTTTTATGGTCACTTTCTAACTTTTTCAACTGTTCTTCTAATTTTGTCTGATTCTTCTCGCGTTCTTTTTTATATCTGGAGGAAAGTGAAATTATTTTACCCCTCAAAAAGGCCTTTGCTGTGTCCGATAAAATGGAGGGGGAGACCACATCATTATCATTAGTTTACAGAAAGTATACTAATTCTTCCTTTATGTACTGAATAGCTTCAGGATTGTTCAAAAGTGACACATTTAGTCTCTATAGTTTTAAAGGCTTGTCATGGTCGACATTTAAGGTCATTGACACTGGGCTATGATCCGATAAGGTCTGGGGTTCAATGTGACTGTCTTCAACCCTATGAATATCTTGTTTTGACATACAGAAGAAATCTATTCTAGAATGACTCTTATAAACTCTTGAAAAATGTGTATAATCCCGAACCCTTGGGGTTTTTCACCCGCCATATGTCCACCAGCCCTAATTCCTCTAGCATACAATTCAATGTTTTGGATTTAGCCATTTTGGTTTTTTGTTCAGATGGAAATTTATCTATGTGATTTAAGACACAATTAAAATCCCCTCCCATTATAATTATACCCTCAGAATTTCCAGCCAAAATTGGAGCCAACTCTTTGAAAAAACCCGGATCGTCTTCGTTTGGGGCGTAAACATTCATATTTGTCAAAGAAATCGATCCAATGAGACCTCTAACCAATATCCAACGGCCATTTTTGTCCTTAAGTATTTTCTCTGGCACAAAATTCAAAGATTTGTGACAGAGTATAGCCACTCCCCTTTTTTTATAATTTTTGTATGACGCACTAAAGACCTGGCCCACCCAATCTCTTTTTAATTTGGCATGTTCTTCCTCATTTAAATGGGTTTCTTGTAGTAGCCCAATGGAACAATTCAACCTTTTTAATTGAGTCGGAACCTTTTTCCTTTTTATAACATGATTCAAACCATTTATGTTGTAACTAACAAGTTTTATGGTACTCATGTTCCGATGATAGAATAGGTAATAACATCTCTTGTCTTTCCACCTTTGCAATCAAAACAAAACTTTATGAACTTCTTATATAAACTAAGATGAACTTCCAATTACCCAGGGTGTTGCAGGAAAAAAAAAAAAAAAGTAGTCCTCCTGGGTAAAGTGCACACAGTGTGCGCGCAGCAGTTTATGGTCCCTTAGTCTCTGCTGCCTTAAAGCCCGGATTCACTGGATAGCCCCCGCTCAAACCAGTTAGTTTTGAAATATCACAACAAAAAACCTGTAAATAGTTACTTCAGAAACATTTGCTCCACCAGAATTGTACCTTCTTTAGTTGGCTTCTCTTTTAATCTTCTTCAGATTGGTCCTCAAAGTTAACTAGAAACTTGCAATGGCTGAAGCCATTGCGATTGACTGCGGAACAGATCTAATGTGGAATTTAGCTGAAAAATCCTTGAAATCCTTGAAACTGTTAAAATACTTTAAACATCTTTGAAACTCCTGAAGTATTTGAAGCTCTTGATATCCTTTAAACTGTTATCCTTTATACTGGTTTACATGTAAAAACCCCTATTAAGTTGCATTATACTGGTTTACATGGAAAAATCCCCATTAAGTTGCATTATACTGGTTTACATGTAAAAAACCCTATTAAGTTGCATTATACTGGTTTACATGGAAAAATCCCTATTAAGTTGCATTATACTGGTTTACATGTAAAAATCCCTATTAAGTTGCATTATACTGGTTTACATGTAAAAACCCCTATTAAGTTCCATTATACTGGTTTACATGTAAAAACCCCTATTAAGTTCCATTATACTGGTTTACATGTAAAAAACCCTATTAAGTTCCATTATACTGGTTTACATGTAAAAAAAAAAACCTATTAAGTTGCATTATACTGGTTTACATGTAAAAACCCATATTAAGTTGCATTATACTGGTTTACATGGAAAAATCCCCATTAAGTTGCATTATACTGGTTTACATGAAAAAAACCCTATTAAGTGGCATTATACTGGTTTACATGAAAAAAACCCTATTAAGTTGCATTATACTGGTTTACATGGAAAAATCCCTATTAAGTTGCATTATACTGGTTTACATGGAAAAATCCCTATTAAGTTGCATTATACTGGTTTACATGGAAAAATCCCTATTAAGTTGCATTATACTGGTTTACATGGAAAAATCCCTATTAAGTTGCATAATACTGGTTTACATGGAAAAATCCCCATTAAGTTGCATTATACTGGTTTACATGGAAAAATCCCCATTAAGTTGCATTATACTGGTTTACATGGAAAAATCCCTTTAAGTTGCATTGTACTGGTTTACATGGAAAAAACCCTATTAAGTTGCATTATACTGGTTTACATGGAAAAAACCCTATTAAGTTGCATTATACTGGTTTACATGTAAAAACCCCTATTAAGTTGCATTATACTGGTTTACATGGAAAAATCCCCATTAAGTTGCATTATACTGGTTTACATGAAAAAAAACCCTATTAAGTTGCATTATACTGGTTTACATGAAAAAACCCTATTAAGTTGCATTATACTGGTTTACATGGAAAAATCCCTATTAGGTTGCATGATTACACTGAAGTCCTTGAAACTGCTGAAGTCCTTGAAACTGCTGAAGTCCTTGAAACTGCTGAAGTCCTTGAAACTGTTGAAGTCCTTGAAACTCTTGAAATCTTGAAACTGCTGAAATCCTTGAAACTGTTGAATCCTTGAAACTGTTGAATCATTGAAACTGTAGAAATGTCTGAAAGAGCTGAAGTCCTATTAAAATGCATGGGCCTATTAAAATGCATTGCAGAATTCTCAATGCAGATTTTTGTCCGATTGCGGAAAAACCGGAAATCGCTGAAGTCCCAAAAGTAATAGCAATAATCTCCCAAACATGTGGAACGTTTTGATGTATAACTTGTGGAAATTGTTGAAAATGTGAAAGCTGTGAAACGTGTCAAAAAAAATGACGGAATAAAGAAATACAAAACCAATGGTTGACTGCGGAAGGTTCCGCAGTCAATCAATAATGGATCTAATTTCTCTGGAGTTCAGCCCATTCCTCTTCCCTCTGCTTCGGGTCTGCCTTCCTTCCTGTAGCACCTCTCTCTCCAAAATATCCCGTTCTTCCAGCACAACATGTATCCCCAGCTCTCCGAGTGTTGACCTGGCCTCCACTAGAGAGGGGAAGATCTTTATCCCCGTGTCCAGAAAAATCTTGAGTTGCGCTGGGTATGGCGATTGAGCTTTGATGCTGCGCTCCTTACGTTTTTTAATCACCTCGCGCACCTGCTTTCTTTTCCTCTGTACCTCCGGAGAATAGTCTTGATCAAAGTAAACTTTCCTCCCCCGAAATTCCATGTCTCGCTGTTTCCATGCCTGCCTCAGTATCTCTTGCTTTACTTTAAAGTCCAGAAGGCGCACTATTATGGATCTCGGTGGCGCGGCAGGTTTCGGTTTCGGTGTCAAGGCTCTGTGAGCTCTTTCAATGCAGATATCCAAATCATCTGGCAGTTGCAGGGATGATTTAAAAAAATCAGTGATGAAGGTTATCATGTCTTTTCCTTCTGCCTCCTCTTTGATCCCATATAGTCTGATGTTTTGTCTGCGCATTCTGTTCTCCAAGTCATCTTGTTTTGTAGTTAGCAGGACTTCTTTTTTCAACAAGTAAGCTAACACTCTATCGTGTCGCATTGCTCGGTCTTCTGCGTTACTCACTCTGTTTTCAGCAGTCGTCAGTCTCTCTTCCAGGGTGTCCATTCTTATCTTTATGTCTCCAATCGAGGTCTCCATTCGTATTTGAGAGTCAATTATGTCTTTCTGTGCAGACCTTGATTCCTTGCGGAATTTTAGCATTAGCATATCTCCACCGGTGTCACTCTGAGCTAAGCTAGCATCTAGTGTTAGCTGCTTTTGCTTTATTTCGTCACCTTTGCCAGCTTTCGCGTCCTTTCTGGACATCTTTTGCGAGGATGACATTATCGCCGTGTCAGGTCGTTAGATTTGTGTGCGTTGGTGGAGTTTAAACGCCTTTTCAGGTACTTTAAGAATTAAGTTGGTCAGAGCACACGGGCAAGCGGTTCTACCCGGGCATAGCGGAAACCGGAAGTCCAATAGAACTGTTTTTAACCTGGATTTAAACTTTGTCAGAGAACAGGCCTGTCTCACATTTTCAGTGAGATCTGAAATTCTGCCTCCCCATGTTTAGTTTTGACTCTGGGCAGGAGGCCAGTCCCTGTTCTCCTCAGAGTCCAAGTTGGTTCATCGCTCTTTCTGAATAGATTATATGTTTTCTATGATAGCATGCTATGGTCTGATTGGTTAATTTAACTTTTTTGTCATTTTGATTGGAGGGTAGCACAAGAGTTAAATAAACCTTCCATGATCTCTCGGTCTGCTGTTTCTCAGTCCTTTCCCAGCCTTGGTTTACCACAGGTATTTTAATCTTGTTTGAACACCTCCAAACAGCGTGAGAACCACAGCCTTCTTCACTCTCCATGATTAATCAGCCCAGTCCAGTGTCCTCTGCTGGGAACCCATTCTATCTCCCCAAACTCTTCCTGGAACGCCCCATTAACAGATAAATACGGGGGTATAGCTTTGTATCCACTGAACATACGTCACCAGATCACAAAGACCTGCAAACTGGTGCGTGAAGTGTTGTAGGGTCAGATGGAAAGCACCAGTGTGGTCTTGTACAACACAGACAAGCGTCCGCATTAAGGCTTTTGTGAGCGCAAAAATAAACTCTTGTCTGTCCATCGCTTATGGTCTTTTTCTCTCTGGTCTCTCTCTGGCCTCTCTCTGGTCATTCTCTCTGGGCTTTCTCTCTGGTTTTTCTGGCCTCTCTCTGGTCTCTCTCTGGTCTTTCTCTGGTCTCTCTGGTCTCACTGGTCCCAACTAAAAGCTGAGGAATGTCCATTGTACAGCTTATGTCCCCATCACCACTCTTTCCAACACAGATCCTTTTTAAATGGAAAATCTTTAATTGTTGTAATTTTTTTTCTAGGGCATTGGGGAGCTGTTTGAGAAGATCCAGCAGGAGAACAAGTCCAGGCCTCCTCACTCAGATCCAGGCCTGTTTTTCACAAACCTGTATGTGACCCCTGTGTTGCGCAACATCAGCCTGTACCTGGAGAAGGGACAGATGCTAGCGGTTGCAGGTTCCACCGGATCAGGGAAGGTGAGGGAGAATTTGTGCGAGTGTCTGTAGCCTCTTACTTTTACTTGGGCTGGTGTGTCAGAACCATCCGGCATTCCACCCACCTTGTGACGCAGCCTTTTTGTTCACTCTGACCAAATATTTAGACTCAATAAAGCCAAACTGTTTTCATACATGTGTCTCAGATAGAGGAGGTTCTAAAACTAAACACAAGTCACATGAGGGACAATACTTTGTGTATTGACAGCCTAACGCGCCATGGAGCCATGTTTGGGTGTGTGACGATAGCTCTCTCTGAGGCCAGGACTGCCCTGAAAAATAAATCCCAGTGGGATTTCCCAGGTTCAATAAAGATGCATAAACTAATAATAATAATTAATGCAAAATAAGCCGATTAGAGCAAACTTGAACAGGCTAGTTGAGCGAGAATGTGGAGCCAAATTTATACTAATGTTATTCGTAGCAACGGCCGAGTTACCAAGAGCCAATCAGGAGCAGCACAGGTCTGTCCCCACTCGCGCAACTAAAGCTGAATTCTGCGACAAAAGGCTCCTGATTGGTCAATCTTTCTATTGTTCCTTATCTGGATGTACAAAAACAATATCACATTGTGCACTAAACCACAGAATGTTTAAGTCCAAAATGGTGAGCGTAACACAAACGGTACTGAGCTGGAGGAGTTTACTTTTAAACAAAAGGATCCAGAGCAAGAAGCCGTCTTGGAAATGGTTCAGACGGAGGACGGGACTGGTGCAAGTTTTAGAACTGGGTTTGCAGGGTCCCCAACAGGAAGTACAGGACCAGTGCTGGTTTCAATAGTGAATAGGGTGATGTCACATTCTGTAACAGTTGACTCTTGTAGTAAAAGTATAGAAAGTGCTTTTGCTCTTTTTTTAACCTTTAAAGCTGCAGAGTTGAGAGTGGTGACTCAGAAGAACAGGTTTTGAACTCGATCTATGTGTGAAAGCTGGGTGAAAGCCAGGTATTGCAGGCCACAATACCATACTGTCTCTCCTCTCCTCTCTTCTCACTATCATCGTTTCTCTCCACACTCCTCTCCTCTCCTCAGTCATCTCCGCTATCTTCTCTCCCCTCTTTTCTTCTGCCCTCTCTCTTCTCCTCCCATCTCCTCTCTCCTCTTCTCTCTCCTCCCTCAACTCACTTCTCTTGTGCCTCTCCACTCTCCAATCTCCTCTCTCCTCTCCTCTATCTTCCCTGCTTTGCTCTTGTTTTAGTCCTATTGTATATTTGAATATTTTTCCCCTGATAACCCCCTGCTTTTTGTCCCCAGAGCTCGTTGCTGATGATGATCTTGGGGGAGCTGGTTCCCTCAGAGGGGAAGATCCGTCACAGCGGTCGGATTTCCTTTTCTCCGCAGACTTCCTGGATCATGCCCGGGACAATCCGGGACAACATACTTTTTGGCCTCACCTACGACGAGTACCGCTACACTTCGGTCATCAAGGCCTGCCAGCTCGAGGAGGTAACAGCCATGAAGTACAGATCACTAGATTAAAGCTAGGGTACCTAACTTTCAAACTACAAAATATTTAATTATGTAATAAAACTACCAGTAAAACTACAGTTTGTTCTATCAATCATTTTCACATGCATATGTTTCTGCCCTCTCACACCATTCAGCTCCGCAGGAAAATAATTATTTTCTTGCTTTGATCACAGATCTATTTTAATATTGGCAATTGCACAAAGAAAATGTTCACATCTGGGCCACCCGTTAGCAGCTGGCTCGTTTGGACGTTAACGGTTTGATGATGAATTTTTTTCAAGCATCAAATTTGATAACTATTTCCTGTTTTGAATTTGTGCAGAGTTGATAGTGTTGTTATTGTTGTTTTTTATTTTTGCGAGGGAGGGGGGAGGGCTCAGGGTGTGCTACGTGTTTCTTTGTCTGATTTGATGTTTCCCGTCGCAGTCTCAAAGCGCCCCCTCTGGCCTGGCATACATTACACTGCTCTCAGGTGAAGTGAATTCGCCTTCTTTGTGTGGACGGATACATTTACAGAGCCGGTTTTGTCTGAGTGTAATACCATTTAAAAACTGTACGTCATTTTGTCTTTGCCTGGACAGGACCTGAGTTTGTTCTTGTTCATTTAAGCTTGAGCAAACCCAGTCCATCTCCACACCTGATAATTGGACTTTCTTTAGAATCTTTTCCTTTTGTGAGGTGAAGAGGAGGCTCTTATTTCAGATGCAGGAGTCATCTCTCAACACAAACGTTATGAGAAACACGAGACTTTCATAAAAAAAGACAAAAATCAACTAAACGTAAACTGTCACCGTTAAAAGAGGCGACTGTTGGGGAAAGTCACTTCAACATGTCCAACAGGTCCTTTAGGAGAATTCGTAGATGCATTTGAGCAATGAGCCTTTACACACAAGGGTACGTGTTTTTGCTGATTTGAAGTATTGGGCTCTTCATATGAGCTAAAACGACTCTAGATCGATTTTTTTTTTTGAGAGACCAATATTGGAAAAAGGTTAAACAAATGCTGTTGTACCTAAATAAACAGAAGTCTAAACAAAAGTTTGTGAACAAATCAGACTACAACCAGTCTTCATCCTATTAGATGACATGTTATCTTTTGCATACTTGTAACAAATATCCCTGTGAGTCACAATTTTACTCAAAGGGCTCTTTGAGCCAATTGGCTGAGAGCTGATTGTCTGAGTGAGGGTGGTCTGCTTTTTTCACCTATCTGTTTAAAAAAGATGATCTAAAGCTGTGGCAGAGGCCAAAAGTACATGCACGTGAAAACTAGAAGCAAACTTTTTTTGAGCGAGGAACTAGTGACATAGATTTTTTTCATAGCAGCAGTGGCAGCATTAAGTAGTAGCAGTAGTAGTATCAGTAGCAGCAGCAGCACCAGTAGCAGCAACAGCCGTAGTATCAATAGCAGTAGTTGAACAGCAGTAGTAGCAGTAGCAACACCAGTAGCACCAGCAGTAGCAGCATTAGTAGCAGTACTATTAGTTTTACAGCCTTGTCGCGGATCCTCCTGCTCCTTTGTGTGGTGCGTGTCCAGACAGTGTGTGTGTGTCTCTTTTGTTATGTCCAACTGCAGCTTGTGTCTGCTCTTTTTACACTGCAATAAACTGTGTTGTGTTCCTTAGCCTCAGAAGAGCGCAGCAGGTACGGACTTGTGTGTGCGATGACCAGTGCTCAGAGACACCACACGCACAATGGACTTCCACACATTTATACCAAAGTTATATTGTTTTCTCATGTCTTTCATGTAATTCAGTATTCAGTAATACAGCCATTGCCATGCATGTTTGAGCTATCTGTGCCATTGTTAAGATGAGACAAAGCTCCACTGAACCCTTATACCTACTTTTCTGTATAGTTAACTTTTAGTCCAAATTAAATACAGTATATGGTCACTGTGGTCTGAGCGGAGCCTGCAGGACCTTTGGTGTCTTCTCTTTTTATAACAGTCATTGTTTTTATACAGCGTTTTCTTTGGACACTCAAAAGCGCTTCACAGCCTTAATCTCTCACGTCATACAATGTGACACAGCTCTCTCTGGTCTCTCCCACTGGTCTCTCTCTGATCTCTCTGGTTCTAGGTGCGCTATGCTGAGAGACTTTGAAAGTGATTTTGGCCCTGATTTTGACCCTTTTAAAAGTGATCCTTACATTTGGACACATTCCTATCTTCCTTGTGGAAAAAAAAACTGACACAACACACCTACCTGTCCCACTGTTGTCCTGAGTTGACACAAAATTTCAGTGTCTATTCTATAACACAGCCACATACAGTATGTCATAAAGGATCACTTTACTGTAGACAAAAGCATGCTGTGTCTTCTTTAAATTAAAGTATTGGAATATCAAATTGGAATCTGTGACTGTATTTTTCTGTTTCCAGGATTTGTCCCACTTCCCGGAGAAGGACAAGACTCACCTGGTGGAAGGCGGGGTCACTTTGAGTGGAGGCCAGCGAGCACGCGTCGGTCTGGCCAGGTACGGCTTCCTGCAGCCTGTCGTCACCGCCGTCATTCTAAAACCATAATTAAGGAGCGCGCACAGGAGCCACTTTGTCTCCGCCGCAATAATCCCACGTTCAAATGCAGAGAAAGGCAAGGAAGTGGCTTTGAGGATTTTAAAAAGCAGAGATTATAATTAACTACAGATTATGTGAGACTGTGACTTTGGAAGAGGTTTTGACCTTCACCAATTTAGGGTTGTCAAAAGGAACTCAGATTCTAACCCTCTAGAAATGTTAAAGGTCCCATATGTTACTCTTGTTCATTTTTCACAGTTCATCCTAAGCACATGCGAGATAATAATGTGAGTGATACACAACAAACAAAACTTTGGTAAAGGTGCCTTTGGCAAAGGACCAAAGGCACCTTTGCCTTTGGTCACAGGCAAAGGTGCTCCTTTGCCTGTGACCCTAACTTGTTAAGCTCCAGAGAATAAACTTTTTCCAACAAAGGCATTCCATCACATAGATTCCTACTTTATGTCCTCAATCTAGAATCGGACCCTAATTATTTAGTTAACAGAAGTATGCAGCGAGTTACGTAGTTGCATTGTATTTACAGATTTAGCCCTTCGTGAATGTCTTTTCTCATGGAAATTACACAGGTTTCCAGATCAGCTTTTGAGTAAGTCCAGTTTCATGGTTTCAGAATTTGAATAATTTTTTTTGCCATGTAAGTAACAGGAAGTCACAGGCTAGGAAATTGCTTTGGCTCGGTCCAACAGTCAGAAAGAGAGGTAAAGAAAAGAGTAAGGCATAATAAAAATCAGCATACACTTCTAAGGTATAAAATTTAAAATAAAATTATTACAATTACAAATACATATGATATACAAGTGCACACGGTGCACACAATATGCTGTAAGCAGTGCAATAAGGTGACAGCAGTAAAGGGACGTTATGATGGGCAGTAAAGTCCCACAGTTCTGGAACAGTCTTTAGTAAGGTGACGCTTGCAGATGAACAGATTTGTTGCAAATTTCTGAGTCAGATTCCAGTGAAAAAAAAGTCCAGACACTTTTAACAAATTCTTCATAGTTGGGCCAAATAGTGACGCAAACACTTTTGAACCTAGGAGAGGCTATGCGCGCTGATTTGCTGTTTTGATTTGACAATTACCTCCTGGATATTGAATCTTCAATTTAACATTTACATTGAAAGTTCAATAGCAAACTTCAACAAAGCTGACACGGGTCCAAACAACACGCCACTGTTGGTTTGTACACGTTCTCTTTAGCCCTGATTGCTCAGAGTGCTTCACTCTGTGTTGTTTCAGAGCTGTGTATAAAGATGCAGACCTGTACCTGCTGGATGCTCCCTTCACTCACCTGGACATCGTCACTGAGAAGGAAATCTTTGAGAAGTGAGAAAATATGTGATCTACAAAACTCCAGAACCATGTGTTTCATGGAGGATTGTCCAGCACTTAGAGCGAAGTCTTTCAGGATTCATAGAGCTGTAGTTTTAGTAGTAACTTCTGCTTCACATCCATCACATAAATGGATGCTGGTCTCTGACCAATCAGAGACCAGCACACACACACACACACATACGCAAACATAATATTAATAATACGTTATATTACTGGTCATACAAGGTAAAGCGCTTTGTGTGACCTTGGTCATACAAAGTAATGTGAGAAAAAATACTCACATTACTTGTTTCCAGATGTGTGTGTAAGCTCATGGCGTCAAAGACTCGCATCGTGGTCACGTCTAAACTGGACCATCTGAAACGGGCCGATAAGATCCTCCTGCTGCACAATGGCGACTGCTACTTCTACGGGTCATTCGCCGAGCTGCAGGCCAAACGTCCAGACTTTAGCTCTCTGCTGCTCGGGCTGGAGGCCTACGACAACATCAACGCAGAGAGACGCAGCTCCATCCTCACAGAGACACTCAGGAGGGTGTCCATCGATGAGACCGCTGCCTTCAGGGGCCCGGAGAACCTGCGTCAGTCATTCAGGTCTAACACACACACACACACACACACATCAAAGTGCTAAACAACACAAGATGGAAACAAAATCACATAAGGCATTAATATCATAAACAATCACATAATAATTAAAAAGAACAATCCTTCAGTTGTATGTGCAGCAAAATATAACTGTTTTAACTGATTTGAACAATGACAGAGGTAGAAGCCTGTTTCACATTTTCAGTAAGACTGTTCCAGATTTTAGCTGCAAAAATCTGAAACGATGTTTAGTCCTGAGTCTGGGCACCAGCAGGAGTCCAGTCTCTGTGCTCCTCAGAGTTTGAGTTGGTTTATAGGGCAAGTTAGGTACCCCAGCTTCAACCATAATCTTCGCACCTCTGTTTCCAGGCAAAACCACAATCCGATCATCTCCAACCAGATGCAGAACGGGGGAGAGAGCCATCCAGAGAAGCGCAAACAATCCTTGATTTTAAACCCGTTAGCCGCAGCAAGGAAGTTCTCCATCCTTGGCGGCAGCAACCAGCCTCCGATCCAGCAGAGCACGGCGCTGGAGGACAGTGTGCGAGAGATGACCGAGCGCAGATTCTCTGTGGTACCGGAGGACGACCAGGTTGAAGAGGTGCTGCCGCGGTCCAACGTGTTCCACCACGGCTTCCACCACCTGAATGGGCAGCGCCGCCAGTCAGTGTTGGCCTTTATCACCAATGCACAGGGCCAGGAGCGGCGCGAGCAGGTCCAGTCCTCCTTCAGGAAGAAGTTGTCTATCACACCGCAGTGCGACTTAGCCTCAGAGTTGGACATCTACGCGCGCCGCCTCTCCAAAGACAGTGTGTATGACATCAGTGAGGACGTGGACGAGCAGGATATGGAGGTGAGAGTGTGCTTGTGTGTGTGCGTGTTCGCACGTGTGTGTGTTCGCACGTGTGCGTACGAGCAGGATATGGAGGTGAACAGGTTTACAAAGCAAAAGAATAAAGAGGACACTAAAAACATGGACTCTATTTAGAGTCACTCCCAAATCGGTCAGAACACTCTGGGCCCAGTTTACAATTGATCAGATAGAACTTTTAAAAGTTAAATTGCTAGTAAGTACAACACATAGCAAATATGTCTTTGACCATTTGTTTTTTTACTCAGGCTCAACTGCAGCAGCATAAGTCATTTTATTTCCACAGCACTTTTAAATGCACCATGTTTCCTGCTTAAGCCTCCCGTAATGAAACCAAACCAAACCAAATCAGAACAAAACAAACTGCTTGGTTCTTTGGTCATCATGAATGGTCAAAATGAGGGAGTGTCCTATATGTGTCCAGACCAAGCTCCAGGTTTCCAAGATGCCTGCTGTGCAAGAATGGGAGAACCAGAGCTGGGCAAGTCACGTCACTTCGTGAGCCAATGAGCACAGGCCATTGATCTGAATGGGCAGACATCTTGGAGACCTGGGGCAGACATCTTGGAGACTGGTTTCAGACCTCACTCAGAGCCACAGGTTAAATTGGCCGAGGAGAGTGATCCAGTTGTCACTAGCGCTTTTTAAGCATTCTCTCTCTCTCTCTTTCTCTCGGCTCTGACAGCAAGCGTTCGCAGACGAAAATGAGACAGTGTTTGAGACCACGTCCTGGAGCACGTACCTGCGATACCTTACCACCAACAAGAGTCTAGTCTATGTGCTCGGCTTCATCTTCCTCGTCTTTGTCATTGAGGTGCTCACACACAACATGTTCCATTGTCTTCATCACTAATTTAAGGATTCACCCATTCACACAGTGGCTTACAGGGGACAGAACACTTGAATTTGCTGTTGGCCAATCAAACATGTTGTGTCTATAAGTCTATAGAGACTCCTGCTGATGGGCTTTTAGGCAGCACTGATTTGAACCATAAACTTTTTGTCTCAACAGGTGGCTGGATCTGTCATTGGCATTTACCTCATCACTGAGTAAGTGATAAGAAAAACTTAAACAATTTGCACAATAATCTATTTGCCAACAGAAAATGTCTTGAAAAAACATGTTTTCTTTTGTGTTAGAAAGAGTCCTGTGAGTCGGCTGACTTGCTGAGTGAAAGTGGCCCTCTCTTTTTCACTTTTCCATCTGAAAAAGCAGATGTGACGGGGCCAAAAATACATGATGTGAAAAAAAGTGATTGACTGTTATGACATAGTTAAATTTTTGTAGTTTGGAATTAAGGTACACCAGCTTTAAATGACCAAATATTGTATACCTGGTTTAGTCCTGATTCAGACCTGGTTTAGTCCTTGAAGATCTAGTTATATGGATTGCATCACATAGTTTAACATGTTAACTCACGGCTTCACCTGTCCCTCTCTTTCTCAGTGAGATCTGGAGAGACGGCGCCAACCCAAACTCCCCTAACTATATCGACGAGCAGCCGCAGAACGCCTCGTCGCCGCCGGTGCACTTGGCCGTGATTGTGACCCCCACCAGCGCCTACTACATCATCTACATCTACGTGGCTACCTCCGAGAGTGTCTTGGCCCTGGGCTTCTTCAGAGGTCTGCCCCTGGTACACACGCTGCTCACCGTGTCCAAGCGCCTCCACGAGCAGATGCTGAGCGCCGTGCTGAGGGCTCCCATGGCCGTGCTCAATACCATGAAGACCGGTGAGCTCAAGGTTCAAATGTTCAAGGTTAAACTTTATTGTCCCCAAAGGGAAATTTGTCTCAGGCTCAAATAAAAACAAACATACAAGACACCTCTATATAGAATGTCTGAGTCACTGATGAGGTTGCATCCACCCAAAAAACCAACCGACTCAGCAGTCAGTGTTGATTTTGAATATCCGGAAGACGACCAGGGTACGGTTACGGTAGAACCACCAATTTAAATGGGTCTTTTGAATTGTGTTCAATTGTATTCAAAAGACAGACTAAAGACTAGTCCTTGTTCAGACCTGGTTTAGTCCCTGTCAAGACCTGATTCCGACCTGGTTTAGTCCTTGTTTAGTTCTGGTTCATGGTTCTGTTATGCCCATCTTCTCCTGTTTTCTTTCTTCTAGTGTTATGCCGACCTCTCCTGTCTTTCTCCTAGTATTATGCCGATCCTCTCCTGTCTTTTCCATATTTGCAGCGCTTCTATTTTCACCAAAATTCCTTTCCTACCTTTCCTCCTTCCTCCTCCGTCGAGCAAAGACGTGTCTTAGTCCGCTCCTGCTTCTGAACGGCTTGCTATCTCCTGTTTTTGTCTTTTTTCCTGGAGCTTTGCCACAGACAACTTTAACAGAATGGAAATGATTAATTGGTCCCTCAACGCAATTGATTCTATCTTTTCAACACGTAAGCGTGGGTCTGGAGAGCCCGTGTGTCCGGACGGGACTTCACCAGCGGGGTATACGCTTGACAGCTGGAACAAGTGGCAGCCCCTCTGTCTGTCGACCCTGTCCATTGAAGATTCGGAAGACGTATATATCTTTGGCATTTTGGTGGTGGGAATCCTCCTGTTTGGGTTTGGAGCGATCCTCTTCTACCACAAATTCGGAGGCATGGCAGTTCGCAAGATTCACGACCTGCTGGCCGATAAAATTGATGGGATGTACAAGGAGCTTAGCCGTGTCGTGGTTGAGAGTGCCGTGTCTGGACAAAGAAGAGTGGTTTTGGTGGAACAGTTGATCAAAGACCTCGCAGCTCGTTCACTTGATGGACATAAGACTTTGGAATTGAGATTGAATGACATTGTTTGTCAGGCTTGATCTCTCTGACCCGGCTTGGATTTGCCCCTGTGTACGGAGGTCTGAGGGCACCGGAATTCGGTTTAATTGGAATTAATAGAATATCTGCCTGCTTTTGACTGCGACATTGCAGGCGATGTGTTTTTCTCCTCCTGTGGCTTCTCTCCACTCTTATCTCACATTCCTCAGCCAAGGCCATAAACAAGGTCCCACAATCTACAACAACTCACACTATTTCAGTCTTCAGCAAGGATCCCCCACCCCCGCCTCCCTCTACCTATCCATCTTGCTCCCTCCCTCCCCTCCATTCCTTATTGTTTTCCTACTCACCCCCTCCCTGATCCCGCCCCCCTCTGACAGCTACATTGGGCCGGCCGAAGAGGTGCTCTTCCCGAGAAAAAAATCCGTGGTTTATAAAAAGCACAATGTGTCTATCCAATTGTCTGTGAACTGTATGTTATTGCTCTCTGCTGTTTCTTGCTGCACACAGCGCCGCAAATGGCGAAGTGGCACGCTCTCTGCCAAAACAATTTCCAAGTGATAACTTTGTTACTCACGTGGCAATAAAAATGATTCTGATTCTGATTCTGAAAATCACAAAGAACCACCGTTTCCTGCTAAGCGGGTACATAAACAGTCTGGGCACCCACTGAGATGTGTAATTGATTCAAGCGTCTCCCTAAATACCTTGAACTTTGTTTTGTCTCAGGTCGAATCATGAACAGATTCACTAAAGACATGGCCACTATTGATGACATGCTGCCTCTGGTTCTTTTCGACCTCATTCAGGTGGGTCTTTTATTCTCAGAGTATTGCAGCATTATATCCATAGCATGTGTATAGATGGTCAGTACTAACCCACTAGCTCAATCAAGCCCAATAGGGAAGTGCTCATTGATGAAATTTTGCTCCAACTCACTCTGGCTCCTATTAACTTACATGGTAAAGTAAACTCTAGCACAGAACTGTTTGTGTGACACTGTCCATGTTGGGATTTGTAAAAATGGCAGTTTAGCGCTCTCTCCAATCCTAGTGTTTATATTTGGTATTGTCTTTGTAAATCCAGATATCAATCAATCAGGAGCCTTCTATCCCCAAATTTGGCTTTAGCAGCAAGTAGCGCTAGAGGGGACTGACCGGTGCACTCCTGATTGGCTCTTTGGTGTCCTGGTTATTTCTACCCACAAACTTATATATATACATTTTGGCTCCACATTCCCGCTCAAACAGCCTGTTTGAGTAAGCTCTAAGCGGCTTCTTTCACATTCTGCAAGCATAATGGTGACGTCAGCACACGGTCAGTCCACTTCTAGTATACGGCCTATGATTCTAACATTACGGTTGCGTCCTCAGCTGACCCTGATTGTGACCGGAGCCATCTTCACTGTCTCCATCATACGACCGTACATCTTCGTCGCTGCCATCCCATTGGCCGTGATCTTTGTCATACTCAGGAAGTACTTTCTGAGGACGGGACAGCAGCTCAAACTACTGGAAGCTGAAGGTGCATCTTCACAAATATACATATGTGTATACAAGTTGGGGTACCTAGTTTTCAAACCACAACAATTGAACTGTGTAAAAAAACCTTATAACTAGTATCTGGCTATAACAGTTCACTCAGTGGCAGGCCATGCATTAGAGACCTGCAGTGATGTCAATCAATCAATCAATCAAATTTTATTTATAAAGCGCTTTTCATACAAAAAGTGTAACACAAAGTGCTTTAGTTAAAAACAATCCAACATGCCTAGCCCTAAACCCTCCTCCCCACAGACCCCCCCAAAAAAACATTTATAATTATATATACAACCACATGCGTATACACACACACACATATACACACACACACACACACAGACACACACATACAAGTATAAAGTCCATCCATCCATCCATTTTCTTCCCCTTAATCCATTTCTGGGTCGGGGGGGTGGCCAGAGATTCCACCCAGTTCACAGAGCACCAGCCTCTCACTGATCCTCCTGCAGGTGGTGAGTCCACAGGAGCCTTGATCTTTCCAGTGGGGGCTATAAAGGGGGGAGTATAAAGTCATATCAGGTAAAATAGGTAAAACAATAAAAAGAAATGGGGCTGGGAGCAGATGTAACCGGCTGAAGAAGCGCCATCCAAGGAGCCATCTGCACCAGGAGCAGAGAGCCGGCTGCAGCCACAGGGAACGACATAGGACCCAGAGGAGAGAGGGGCCCCAGACCCCACCAGGCCCAGGACTCAGACCCCATAGGACCCAGAGGAGAGAGGAGGCCCCAGACCCCCACCGGATCCAAGAGCCAGACCCCCGAAGCCACAGCAGACGCTGGGGTCTCCCAGTGCAGAGGGCTCCTCCAGAGGAAACACTGGGGACACTAAAACAATACAATAATACAAATGTCCTAACCCAGCAATCTCCAACTTTTTTAGTGCCACAGCCCCCCCCTTCAGCAATGTGCAACTTTCTTCTCTGACAGTATCTGAGAGCAAGACCGAGTGCAACATGAGTGTTCAGGACCCAGTTTTGAGCATTAATCTGGGAAAGTCCAACTACAATATAAGTATTGCGTGTAAGTTTAAATGTTCTGTTTTCTTACCTTGGGGTGACAGTGGCTTAGTTGGTAGAGCATTGGCCTTTGAGCCTGAACAATATATTTACCTAGAGGGCTGAAAAACGGAAGCAAGTTGTCGTGCTACACATATTAGCATTTTTGTTTATTTCTGTTTATCAAATTAACATGTCTGCATTGACGTCTCTCTATATATCGTGTATCCAATCAGAAGACGTGCAGGCTCTGATAGCTGGCCCCGAGGAAAGAAACTTGGCACTAATTGCCACAGGTTTGTTTTCATTGACTTGACAACCGTGGACCAGCAATGTAGAGTCTGAAGTCATTATAAAGTAATGATAAGTAATGATTGGATAAAAACTCTGACGCCAGACCTCCCAAATGTCAACCAGGAGTTGGAAACTGCGCAACCAACAACGTTTGTGGAGAAATAAACATAGGAAAATAATCCACCATCCATCCATTTTCTTCCCCTTAAACCATTTCTGGGTCGGGGGTGGCAGTCAGAGCTGCACCCAGTACACAGAGCACCAGCCCCTCACTGATCCTCTTGCAGGTGGTGAGTCCACAGGAGCCTTGATCTTTCAGCAGAGGCTTCAGGCAAAGTGGAGTTAAGTGTCTTGCCCAAGGACACAATGACAGCAGACATCAGTGGGAGTCGAGAAGTAGGTCTTATGGTGGGCTCGAACCCACGACCATCATAATAATAATAATTCTATACTATATATATTATGTAAATAATGTATATACTGTATATTTATAGGCCAGCAGTGAAGGCCTTGCAGGCCTTGAGGGTCTGGTTCATTCATTATTTTTCTGGTTCTTTAATTTGAGGAGATTTGAAACTATACTGGCATAAGTCAATTGGAAACAGATGTGAGATTATGAAGACAGTTAATTGGTTCTGTTAAAGGAAACTATGGTTTACAGTTAATTGAAAGGATTTGTGCAGTCATTCTGTCACTATTCTCCCTGCGGTTCCACTGAAAATAATCAAAAAAATAAATAAACACTATAGTATATCCATTTAATATCAAGTGAATATACTCCACCTTTCCCAAGTAATTGCCTTAGCAACACAACTGCCCCCGTAAAGCGAGCCTAGTCGTCACAAATGTCCGTAAAAGAAAATTGGTTCCCACTAGTTTATATCAAAATTGAGGTCTTCCACAGTAAGGCTAACACTATGGTGACGTCACGCACCATCATTCCATTCCATATATTGCTCGATATGCTTTTTGATCATACTATTGGCCAGTTTGGACTCTCTGAACACCACCCGTCTGGCCAAAATCCTCTCCCCATTCAGAAGTGAAAGAACAGAGACAGTGGGAAGAAGAGTCAAAACCCCTTTGTCACTGTTTCTCTCCACTCTCCACATTTCTCTATGTTATGAATGAGGAGCTGATATATCTGTCATGGAGTCCTCAGTGAAAGGGGAAGGTGGAGGTCACAGTCAGACAGGAAGTGGCTTTCGTACCTGTTTGTCCAGGCAAGCACAGCCCCGGGATCAGAGAGAAGTTATGACCTCCACTGGCGTCATCTGAATGTGCTGAGATCAGAAAAGCTGTCAACTCTTCTGCAAAGTCTCTAGACACAACTATCAAAAGATATTTATTTGTATTTTGTCCATGTTCTTATGCAGCTAATACATTAACAGACTTAGGTTTCTCTCTATGTGGCTGTAGCTGTTTCTACTCTACTCTACTCTACGCTCTCTTCTCTACACTCTCTGCTCTGCTCTACCTGGTTGCGTTTGCTCTTTAGTATTTGGTACCGTATCCAAGGAAACTACCCAGAACAAACCAGTATCTATGGAAATTCCATCGTAAACATGGCTTCCAGCAGCACTTTAGTACCAGCCTGGCCTGGACCAAGGGCCAAGAGGGACTACCTCAAGTACCTCACTGCCCCCAAGTACCTGGTACCGGTTAAACATGGTTGATGGAAACGCTCCCAATTGGGGTAAAGTAGAGTAGAGTAAAGCATGGTCAATAGGGCTGGTGGAAAGGGGGTATATGTCTCTAAAACCCTCTGTAGTGTGTACTTACTTACAACATTTGTAACATTTTTTAAGCCTTGAAAGTCACAGTGGAGTACTCCACAGTAGTCTAAGCAGAGACATCCAGACTTCCCTCTACATACACACTTTCTCCAGCTCATCTGGGGGGATCCTGATGTGTCTGTGTAGGTTTCCCCCAGGTGCTCCGGTTTCCTAGCCTGGCTCTCGCCAGACCCTTGTATGTCCGTCATGCTCCACCAGAGGCGTTTTGCTTCACACACAAGGGTCTGGTATCGAGCACATGGCTAACTCCTTCAGCAGATCAGAAAAAAATTGACCAATCAGGATTGTGTTCCGTTGAGTTTGAACCGCCTTCTTAAGCGGGTCTCACGCGGCAGCGAAAGCAAGATGGTGGACATAAAGTAAAAAAAAAAGTTTAAATACGAACAAACTAAAACACGGATGTCACTTTTAATGCAATATGAGGCAAGATGTTGATGGTTCTTTGTTGTTATATGTGTGTTTTAAGAGTCAAATGTTCGTGTAAAGTTTGGTTTAAGCCATGGATGTATTATATTAACTGGATAGGGTATTACTAGCTTGTAGCTGAATCACTCACGTGCTCAGGGGATTCTCGCGGTACTGCAGACTGAACCAGACTAAATTCACGTGGGCTACCCAGAAATTTTCCCCATAGAACTCAATGCATATTAAAACAGCTCAACCTCAGCTGAAAGAGAACCTACAGCTTTCATAAAGGTTGGATTTTGTGGGGATTTTAGTGTCCCTTGTCATCCTGAACTTTTTTTCTTCTTAAATCCTTCGGTTTTGTTTAAATCCACACTTTAGTGCCACAAACTCTGCTCCTCTGGCTCTCGCTCTAACTCCCGCTCTGATGAACTGCTCTGATTGGTCAGAGCGCGGCCGAGCCCCTCTGTGCACGTGCGTGAGACCCGGTGTGAGACCCACACACGCGTGTTTGGCGCAACGCATTATGGGAGATCATCCACTGCGCAGAACCGGGAGGACCAGACGATGCCCAAATACAGGCGAGTTTCCCATAGATCTTTGCGAGTTTCAGGCAACTTCCGCTAATCTTTCAGCCCCCATGCCGTCACAAAGCGCCACTGAGCACAACCATTAATTTGAACAGGGCGCCATCTTGGATCGCCGGGGCTTGGTTTAAGCACTAGCAAGCCCGGCGATCCAAGATGGCGCTGTATTCAAATGAATGGTTTGTGCTCAGTGGCTCGCAAAGATCCATGGGAACTCGCCTATATTTGGGCATTGTCTGGTCCTCGCGACTCTCATGCACGTGCACAGAGGGGCTCGGCTGCGCTCTGACCAATCAGCCCTGCTTATCAGAACGGAGCTAGAGCGGGAGTTAGAGGGGGTCCCAAACGAGCAGAGTCTGTGGCACTAAAGTGTGGATTTAAAGAAAACCGAAAGATTTAAGAATAAAAAAAGTTCAGGATGACAAGGGACACTAAAATCCCCACAAAATCCGACCTTTGTGAAAGCTGTAGGTTCTCTGTCAGCTGAGGTCGAGCTGTTTTAGGGTGTATTCAGACCTGAAAAGTCCTTTGCTCCGCTTGCTTGATCCGAATCAAAAGCGGACCAAACTTTTTTCTTTTGCTCCGGTTCGTATTCAGACTGTCCTTTTTGCAAGTGAACTTTTTTATATAAACATATTGACACGTGTGACGATCGGCGCTCCTATTGGACAGCGAGAGCTCACGGAGGATAGACCCGGAACCGGCAGAAAACATTGAGGGCTCGTATGTGCAGCATGTCTGCTCTGCCTGTGTTTGCTCTTTTTAGAGGAAGACAACTTCAACTTCAACAGCAGCTCATATGACACAGGCCAAACACGTTGTTTTAAATATTGGAACAGCGTCGGAGAATTAATAGTTACTTAATGTAACTTAAGTTCTACGAATA